CCAATTCTGGACGCAGCAAGAAAGCAGCAGGTGGGGCCTGCCCCGGGTGTAAGCTGGGGAGCCAGACGGACGGCTGAGGCTTGAAGGGGCATAGCCGTGGCCACACAAATTACTGGTAGCTGGCAAAGAAGCAGTCAAACCCTGAGCACCAATTATGTGTGAGGCGCTAGGCCACACCTGTGCTGCTCATCTTACCTCATTTAACTGGGCAACCCTGCCGTCCTCAGGGCCTCTCGGGCCACGCGTCACTGTGTCCACATTATAGAGGGGAGACGCAGAAGTCACTTGCAGCTAACACCCCCAGCTGCTCACAGCACCCACCGATGGCCTGCAGGAGTGAGGACGGAGCACATGGACCTGACTGGACCCTGGGTCTTTTTTTTAGCCTTCTCTATGACACCTATTTTCCAGCCAGCATGTAAGTTAAACACTTAAAAATTAAAAACACTGATTTGTGCGCTAGGAATAAAGCACTGTAGAAAAGCGATAGGACCTAGAAGAGGCACCTGTCAGACAGACCCAGGTTCCATCTTTGGTTAAATGGTTACAGGGCAGGGAGAGGGGACCCCAAAACCCCCGAACCTACCAACCCTGTATCAAAATGAATGAAATCCCATAAAAATCCCTCCGCTGGCCCATAAGTCTGTCTCCACAGCTGGAGGCCCCTCCAGGCCTCCACCCCAGGCTCCTTCTTTCTTCTAGACCTGGCATCAGGAGAGTGATATGTCCAGGGCCTCCGAGATTCCGCCTTGTCTCAGAGTCACAAGGATGTGGGAGAGGCCCCGGGGCCTGTGGGTAAGAGTGGGAACCCGAGGCTGGGAACGCAGGCCCTGGCCCCAGGCCCACACTGGGAATATGGGTGGAGGTCAGGTCCCCTGAGCATTTTGGGTTCCATCTGGCGTCAGGGTCGCTCTGCTACACAAACAAAAACTGTCTTTGGGAAAAAGCAGACTAAAAATACAAAAGGTCAATAAACAAGACCAAACGTCTAATTCTAGCAAATTGTACCCCAAGAGAACCAGAGTGAAGAGTATGACTCCCAGGCCACAAAGAACTACCCCGGAGTCAGGAGAAATGAAAGCACAGTCCCCCAACTTTTCTAGAACAGGTGGGTCCAGAAACCAGAAACTAATTAGCCCAACACTGAATTCCAAGCAATTGTGAACAGACTTTGAGTGTGCTCTGGACAGAAAACTCCAGACACCCCGATGAGGGCTTCTAGGGGTTAAACGAGGTGATTCTTGTCATTCATTCATTCATTCATTCATTCATTTACTTCTAATTCTTTACAGTATCACTTTTTCGAGGCGACGTTGGTTTACAACACAGCACATGATTTGGAGGTGTAAGTTCACATCTGCCCCTCTCCTTTAAGTACACACCTACCTGGATTTCTGTAACACCTGGGAGCATGTCTTCTTACCTTTGGGGCTACAGTGGAGAAATATGGGTTCTCACTATGCTACTCCAGTAACATGGCTGATCAACACAGGCCACTTAGGACGCGCCAGCACTCCACGTGCACCAACTCAGTCCTCAAAGCGAATGCCACAACGGGCAACCCCCCCTTTCTTCATTGCAGCACAGGGCAGTCGGGTGACTTGCCCGAGGTCCCAGGCGGTGGGGCCATAGAGTCAGACTTGAACGCAGCTGCCTGGCTCCAGAGCCCCCAGGGGCAAAACTGGTTTTAAAGCGATCTAGAGCTCCCAGATGGATTAACAGCGCAGGGTGGAGGTGTGCGTAGACGCCAGCAGCTTACCTAGACTGCCTGTCAAGATGTCCTGCCCACCCCCTGGGCCCGTGACCCCTGCTGGGCCAACCCAATGCTCTCCTAGGGTCCCCAGGCCTCTCCCTGGCTGTGCTACCCAGTTTTCAGTGCTCCCCATCTGTTGCCCCCTCAGCTGCTTCCCACACGGCCCCTTTTGGCTGTTGATGGCTTCTGGGGTATGCCACCACTGAGCCCCGCTCGAGTCGGTCTCACAGCCCTCCTCCCCGCCCAGATCTGCTCCGCTGGGAGCCAGGCCCTGTCTCACGCCACATTTGGTCCATGACCCTGATGGGTGTGTATGGGAGCAAGAAAGTGAGGCTCGGTGGCGGTCTCCAGTGACAGACCACAGGCTCTGTCCTTCCCCTGGGATGGATCACCATTTTCATAAGTTGGCCTGCTCATAAAATTTGCAGCTGCCACCCGGGCAGAATGAATGCTTTGTGCAATAGAGCCGGACTTGCAATGCTTTCAAACTCAGGGCTGGCTGGGCACCAAGAAGATGACATTTAACTAGCCTCATGGAAGGTCTTTTGTGTTTTTCCTAAGAATCCATTGTGCGAGTATCAGACGGGAAAGGGAGAGTTGACCAGACAGTCGTTCGTGGGAAGCAGCTCTCCCTGCAAATTCAGAGAGTCACCAGAATAATGTAGCTGTTGAAAACACAAGTGCCTCTAGTGATTCGGGCTGCATTACTAGAGATTGAGTGTCTAGAAAACTGGAGCTGACACTTGGCACTTGTCAGTTCACCCAGAGACCTTGTTCTGGTCTTTACGCTTTAGGAGGGACAATGACAATTACAATGCATCCCATTAGGGTTGCCTGAATTGTGGGGAGACTATGGAGACTCAAAGGGGTTGCTCACCATTGAGGAGCTATGATCCCTTTGTGCAAATAACTACAGGGACCCTCTGAGAAGGAGCCCCACAAGCATTATATGAAGAGATAGGCGTGGAAATTACAGAGATGTTTTACCAAAGCCCCTTGGGTGGTAAGTAACCAAAACCAAATTGTAGCTCACCCTGCAAGAGGGAATTTACTCAAAAGAAACAGGTGTTTTAGTCTGGCGGCCTCGGGCTGGAAGGCTGGCAGGAATGGGGCCATCTGACCCTCCATCCCTCTCCGCAATCTGCTTGCTCTTTTGTCACAGTCAGCTTTCTCTGCTTCTGGAGCAGTGGCTGGAAAACACCCTCGCCGTGGCACTGTGTGATCCGCTAAACTCTTCAGGACTTGGGGTGGTGGGGACAAGAAATGGGGGGTGGGGCAAGCCAGAAGCGGGCACTGTTCAGATAGGCAGGCGGGTTACAAAACAGTAACCCAGTCATGGGGGTGCCTGCTGCCCAGCTCAGCTGGGATCTCACCAGGATCCCAGGCCCCTGCCCTGGTTCTGCCCCTCCCCTCAATCCCATAGCCAGCCCTGCTGGTGGTTTTTCTCTACAGTCTCACTACAAATGATGTGCGCTGAGGATGGAGGCTGCCTTTGGCAAGTCTTGGTCAGGACAGGACCGTGCCCAGGGTGTCTTCTGCCATGTTGCTCTTTAGCTGATCTTGTTTGTATGTTGATTGCATACCTGTCGTTTGTGAATTTCCCTGGCCCTGTAGCGCTTCATTATTTGACTCTATAGTCATTTACCGCTACAGTCTTTGCTCTGGTTGTTTCCAGCCCTTTGGAACTAAGGTGCTGATGTGTCCCAGGAGCAGCCATCTTCCCTGTGCTAGACCCTGCAGGCAGGTTCCGACTCACCCAGCACTTTATAGCCCTCCTACGGGAAGTGAGGCCCCATCCTGGGGGAGGCTGTTCTTGGGGGAGAGATTCATTTCCTACCTCCCCAGTTTCTCCTTCAAGCTGTGTTGAAAGTGGTACAAGGAAGGAGCTAGGGGCTTGGGGTAACCTGGATTTGAATCTCAACTCTACTATTTACTAGCTGTGTGACCTTGAGTGAGTCATTTCCCTCTCCGAATCTCTAGTTTTCTCTTTGAAGTGACTGGGGACTGCTGGTGGATTCAGAGGGAACAAAGGAGCCTGGAGGGCAGGTGCTTTGCAGAAACGTAGAGAGGTGGGCTGGCCCCAGGACAGAGGGTCACCTTCGGGGCTGGAGCCACAGAGGGAGAGGTCAGCACAGCATCTATCCTGGGAATTCCAACCCAGCTTCCTCCCCCATGGCCTGGGCTGAAGCAGGAGGGAATGTGGCAGGCTCCTTCCAGAAAAGACAGTCAAGGGGTGGAAAAGATGCCTAGAGGACCCTCCTGGAGAGGCAGGAAGCTGGTCTCCAATCCTGTGAGGGGAGCCCAAGCCGATGAACTGCTGCCGCTGCCATCACACTGGGATCAGAGGCCCCACCAATGGGCCATGACCTGCAGGTGTGTTCCCTGTCCCAACCAGGGCCGGCCAGACCCCAGTCCCTGCCGGGCCTGAAGGCAGACCTCGGCCACTAGGTCGTCTCTGTATCGTGAGGTGGCCTTGGGCTGTGGGTCCCTTGGGTGAGCCTGGCCAAGGGTCTCCGGAGCTTTGCACCCAGGTTTTAAGCTAAAGGGACAAGGAAGATGGCACGGCCTGCCCCTTCTCGCTGGGCTTGCTGCACACCAGGGGTTCGTGACAGGTACCATCTCACTGACCCTTCAACAGGCCAAACGGTGAGCAACCCCATTTTACAGAAGAGGAAACAGAGGCACTTCGTGACCAGGTGGTGGCCCAAGGTTGCAGAGCTGTCGCCAGCAGAGCCATGTTTAATCCAGACCTGTGGCTCTAATGCCCCAGTGCTTTCCCAGCTCAGCGTCAACGCTCCGACAGGACCCTGGCCGCTCCTGGGGCTCCCTCCACTGCCTCCACATTTCAGAGGGCATACTTGACACTTCCAGGAATAACAACAGTGACCCCACTTTCGAAGCCATGTGCTTTACACACACAACCTCTGACAGTTACTACTTCTAGTACCCTCCACGGGAGCCCTTCAGCCTCAGCACTGGACACTCCTGCTGAAGGAAAAGGTGTTGGCTGTGGAGCAGGCCCTCCTGAACCCCTACCGCGCGGCAGGCCAGGTGCGTGGCTCAGGGGCGGGCGGGTCTCCAAAGTTGCTGAGGGCCCTTCGCAAACCCATCTGGCCGCACACGTTCCGCGGCGGGAGGAGGTGCGGGGTGTGGGGCTGGCGCGCCCTCTAGCGGCCGCCGGGGCCGGGCCGGGGCGTCCCTTCTCGGCGCCGCCCGCGGTCTCGCCTGCGCGCGCCCCGCCCCGATTGCCATGGAGACCACTTGTACACTTTGCCCGTCTCCTCCGGCCTGTCCTAAGTGGGGGGTCCGCAGGCTGGGCCAGCACCCACGAGCGGGCCCATGAGCACAGGGACCCCAAGGACGCTGGCTGTGGAAAGGGTGAAATTCTTCTGTGAGCACCGTGGGGAGGTGAGGCCCAGAAGGGCTCCCTGCGTGGGGTCCAGAGTAGCCCAGAGTGGTTGGGTCCTGGTCCTGCATAGTGAGAACTCCAGAGTGTTCTCTGGACTTCAGCTCCAGAATGGACTCTAGGTTCTAAGCTCTGGTTCCAGAGGGGGCTCAAACTTCTGGCTGAGTCCAGTGTTCTTTCGGCTCTGGGTGCCAAGTGAACTCAGGATTTACGGTAGATTGTGAATACCTAGTGCTGGGCTCAGAACTCCAGAACATGCTATTAGTGCTGGGGGCCAGGCGTCAACATCTGGCATCTGCCAGGGCTCTGGCTGCTGAGTGATCCCCGGGTTCTGGGCTCCAGGTGTACAGTGAAGAGGCCAGACCTCCAACCCCAAGCTCCTGAGCCTAAGGTTTGGGGGCGGGGATGAGCACACAGGTGTTTCTCACCCTGGCATGGGGCTGTTTTGTGCTCTCCTTCCAGGTCAATTCCTCCGCCTTATCTCCCAACGTCCAGACACTGCTCACAGCCTCGGAGGATGGCTGTGTGTATGGCTGGGAGACCCACAGCGGACGACTACTGTGGCGGCGGGGTGGCCACACAGGTGGGGCTCCTCTGCCTGGGTGGAAGACTGAGGCCTGGGGCCTGCTGGGCATAGATGTATGACCCTTGGCAGGGCTGGGGTAGGAGGGTAAGGAGATAGGACCTGGTCCCTGGGGTCTGACGAACCTTGATGTAGATCCTGCCAGTTTTCCAAGTTGTTTTAAAATATTTACCATCTTAGCCTTTCTTTAGCTTAAGACAATAGAAATTTTTTGTCTAATGGTTCTAGAGTTTGTAAGTCTGAAATCAACATGTCAGCAAGGTGCCAAGGTATCAAGTTCTCCTGAAACCTGTAGGGAAGAATCCTTTGCCTCTTCCAAACCTGTGGCGACAGCTGTCAACCCCCGGCATTCCTTGGCTTGAGATTATCACCCCAAGGTGCCTCTTGTCACATGGGCATCTTCCCTGTCTTCATGATCTTTAAGTACTTGGTTCAGAAGTGTTAAGTGTATTTATACTGTTATGCAATTAGCCTCCAAGTTCTTTCCGTCTGGCAAGACTAAAACCCTCTTCTGTCCAGCTCTCCTGCTCTGCTCTGTCACTGAAGTGAAATCATGGAGTCTTTCTCTTTGCTGCTAGGTCATTTCACTTAGCACATTGTCCTTCATCAGTTTTACCCACCTTTTTGCTATTACTGTTGTCAAGTCACAACACCTCTGAGGCTCTCCTTTAGAACAGGGATAATAGTTCTACCTTATGGGATGAGAAAATGCAAAGTGCGCAGCACCCAGTAAGGACTTGGTCAAGGTAATTACTGTAATTATCACTAAGACAAAGTAATCGGTGATCACGATGACTGATTAAGCTGTGAAGTCCAAAGGCTGGGCCTACTCAAAGGAGGTAATGAGCCTAGGCTGGATTGCTAAGGAGTTTTTTCTGGAAGGTGCCTGCACTTGATTTGGGTACGTATTTTCCAAATGGGCAAATTGGGGTCGGAGTTTCAGGCTAAGGCAGGGAAGGCCAGGAATTTCCAGGAGGTGGAGGGTGAGGATTAAGGTTGGGAGCAGGGAGGGGAAGTAGGCCACTAGGCTGGAGATAACCCCTGGAGTGCGGGTGGAGGGCACTCTGTTCCCTAACCACGGCTGCCCGCCCTAGGCCCCGTGAAGTTCTGCCGTTTCTCCCCGGATGGCCGCCTCTTTGCCAGCACCTCCTGTGACTGCACCGTCCGCCTGTGGGATGTAGCAGAAGCCAAGTGTCTGCAGGTCCTGAAGGGTGAGTGGGCCGGTAGGACCAGGAACCAAGTAGTCAAGCCCGTGTTCCCTTGCTTTGTTCTATGCCACCTCGACTCCCCCTTGACCCTGGGACCTGCAGGTCACCAGCGGAGTGTGGAGACGGTCAGCTTCAGCCCTGACTCGAAGTGGCTGGCATCAGGTGGCTGGGACAAGCAGGTGATGCTCTGGGAGGTGCAGGTATGTGGACGGGCGGCCAGAGGAAGGCCTGGGATCTGGAACACAGAGGTTGACATGGACCCTTCAGGCTGGCCACTATGTCATACCTACTGCCCATGCCCTCATGTAGCATCCAAGACCCCCCAAATCTTGCTGCAGCTACATCCCCATACATACTGGCCCTCGTGCCTCAAGACCTTTGCCCATGAGGTCCCTTGCCTGCACTGCCCACGTCACCTGGCAGGCCGCCAGGAAGGCCTGAGTCTGTCCCATAAGGCCTAGAACCTGGCAGGGGCCAGGCTGCTGTTGCCTTCCACAGCCTCCGGCAGCTCAGGGCTCTCCTTCCAGTCTGGCCAGATGCTGTGCCACTTAGCAGGGCATCAAGATTCCATCCAGAGCAGTGACTTCGCACCCAACTCAGAAAGCCTGGTGAGCCTGAAAGCCTCAGGGGCCCATATTGAGAGAACCTGGAGTCCACACCTTTCCCATTTGGGGTTGAGCACTGGGTGGCTCACCTCCTGAGCCAGCCCGTCATCTGTAGAAGGGAGACTCAGTGAGAACAGTGCCTGCTGCCGGCAGCCTGGCCAGTTGAGAAACTAGGGTCTGTGCTCATGGTAGTTCTCTGCAGGCCACAGGTTCCTGGGACTCCACCATCCGTATCTGGGACCTACGAGTGGGGGCTCCGGCAACGGTCCACAAGGAGCTGGAGGGCCATAGAGGCAACATCAGCTGCCTCTGCTACTCAGCATCTGGCCTCTTGGTGAGCCGGGCAGCCTCGGGGTCCAGGCTGGCCCTTTGCTGGTTACATGCCTCTTAGAGGGTGATGGGCCACCTCTGGCCGCACACCTGAGGCTGTGCCATTCTTCAGGCATCCGGCTCTTGGGACAAGACCATTCACATCTGGAAGCCCTCCACCGCAAGCCTGCTTGTCCAGCTCAAGGGCCACATCAGCTGGGTGAAGAGCATAGCTTTCTCCACTGACGAGCAGCAGCTGGCCAGCGTCGGCTATTCCGGAATGGTAACCTACCCCTGCAGTTTGCCTCCTGCCCCCTCCCTCCTAGCAGAGCCCTCTACCGAAAAGCCCACACCCTCATCTCCAAGTAGGAGGGTGCCATGTGCAGGACCCAGCCTCTTCTGTGCCCAGAACTAAAGCCTGGGCTTTCCCAAAGGTGAGTGGCACTAACATTTTCACCTCTCAGGTCACTTCGTAGGAAACTCCATCAGGTATTTTTGAATTTTTCATGAGCTATCCTGCTGAGCATTTTAAATACACCTCAGGCCACACAATCTAGATTAGATGTTGGCTGGAACTCACCCCAAGGTGGTTTCAAAGATGCCAGATTTGCCTAGTGAGGCCTCCTTATGCTCATTTTATTTCCAGGTCAAAGTCTGGGACTGCAACACAGGAGAGTGCGTGGAGACCCTGAAGGTAAGCCCAGTGACTGTTGGGCCCAAGGGTGCAGAGGAAGGTGGTAGCAGGCTGGATGTGCAGCCCCGGAGCCCAACATCATGCCTCTGACAGGGAGTTCTGGATGTGCCCCACACCTGCACCTTCACCCCTGATGGGAGACTCTTAGTGTCCGGAGCTGCTGATGGCTGATGGGCAACATGCCAGGTCCACTGCGATCCAGTCACCCACAATGTAACCTATCGCCGGATGCATCAACGCGGACAAAGGCACTTGGGTCACAAACCCCTCCTCTTCCTGCCCAGGGCAGAACGAGCCCATGAAAGGACAGGTACAGGCCCTGTACCATGCCACAGGCCAGAGAAACCCTAGCAGGTCCCCGCCCCACACAGGGCGCTGGAGAGGCAGGCTGGCCTGGGGACAGAAGAAGGCCCCTCCGAGCCACCTGCCCGTGCAGTACAAACCAATGCACAAAGCAATGTCAGCCAGTTTGTTTTTATTGACGCCGCACTGCTCAGGCCTTGACCGCATACTTCCGCAGCGGGTACAGCCGTTCCTTCCGCTGCTGTTTCTTAGTCTTCAGGTTCTGCTCGTGCTTGGTGAGCCGGCGGCGCATGGCGCGCGTTTTCTTGGGCCGCAGATCCAGGGGTTTGTACTTCTTGCCCTGGGAGGTAGAGAGTGAGGGATTGAGGACCAGGGCTAGGAGCTACTGGGGTAGCTAGACAGCCCGAGGCTGGGATGGATGGAGTAGCGCACAGCTGGAAGGGGGTGGGTGTAGCAACAGTGTGATGAATGCACCACAGGCAGTCACCCGGTGGGGGACAGGCCACACGGCGCTGGAGACAGACAAGGCCACACACCTCAATCACTAATTCATTTAATTCCCCCCATTTTTTAAAAAAGATTTATTTATTTATTTATTTATTTATACATACATACAAGCACTGGGTACAGTCAGAAGCATGGGAGGGTGAGAGAATTCACCAGAGCCAGAGCGGGGAGCAGAGCAGGCAGAAGGACCGAAGTACACTGCTGAGGGGAGCAGCGGGTGGCAGGAGAGGTCTGCGCGCCATGTGGGACCCTCCTCCGGTGGCCGGGGAGCAGCCGGGGATCGAACCGGCGCTGCAGAGGCTGCGGGCAGCTTCTCAACCCAGCGCTTAACCGCTGCACCACTGGGGAGGCCCTAATTCCCATTTTTTAAAAAAAGATTTATTTATACAAGCACTGGGTACAGTCAGAAGCGCGGGAGGGTGAGAGAATTCACCAGAGCCAGAGCGGGGAGCAGAGCAGGCAGAAGGACCGAAGTCCACTGTTGAGGGGAGCAGCGGGTGGCAGGAGTGGCAGGAGAGGCCTGCGCGCCATGTGGGACCCTCCTCCGGGAGCAGCCGGGGATCGAACTGGCGCTGCAGAGGCTGCGCGCAGATTCGCAGCCCAGCGCTCAACTGTGCCACCGGGGAGGCCCTCCCCCTAATTTTTTTTTAACAAAGATTTATTTATTTTTATACAAGAACTGGGGTACAGGCCAGATGCATGGGAGGGTGAGAGGATTCACCAGAGACAGAGCAGGGAGCAGAACAAGCAGACTGACGAAATACACTGCTGAGGGGAGCAGCGGGAGACAGGAGAGGTCTGCCTCTCCATGTGGTATTCTCGCCAGCCAGGTGGCATCGAACCCATGCTGCAGAGGCTGCGGGCAGCCTCACAGTCTGGCGCTCAACCGCCTGCGCCATCAGTTAGGCCCTAATTCCCCCAATTTTAAGGTCCCTGGGAATTGTCCCATTTTATTTAAGTTGATGAGCCTGCCCAAAACCTCAACGCAGTTACAGCTGAATGTGTGCTCCCAAATTAGTGCTCTTTCCACCTGCTGATGCCCAGGCAACGTCAAAACCACAGCCAATGCAAAAAGGGGCATGTGGCACCCACATGGCGCAGAGAGCTCTCAGCTCAAGTTAGGCAAGTTGTGCACGTAGGGACTAGGCCCAGAGTCTGGCTCAGCAAACCTGGAGGGCCTGCTTCCACTTAACAAGTGGGACAGAGTAAAGGTCATCTCTGCAGGGAGCAAAGTGCAGACCTTTCACAGCCCGTCCACCCTCCGAGAAAGCTTCTGGTCCCTGCTCAAGGAGCTCTCTGCCCAGAGGGAAAACTGGTAACAAGCAGCACACCAGTAGAGGAAGAATGAGATTAAGGAAGGTTTCACCTCACAAATACTAACAGCCTGGAAAGCAAACTGGACACCAGCTTCAAGGTGAAGAAAAGTGAATACAAAAGCCTCTAAGAACAACAGTTCAGGTTTTCTGAGAACCGCCAACATCTTGGAAGGGCAGGTGTGTGTGGTTATGTGAGGGCACGCTCCGGCGGAACCTGCAGTACAGAAGGCCTTGTCCGGCACACCCCTCCCGGGGTCGGCAGGCACAGGCCCAGTCCATCTGCTAAGGCTCTTAGAGCTCTGCTGTCTACAAGGAGCCACTGGCCACACACTAGCCTCTTTATATTAAAAATCCGGTCCCCTGGTCACTGTAGTCACATTAAGTGCTCAACAGGCACACATGGTCAGAGTTGACCATACAGGAGTCAGATACAGAACACTCCTACTGGCCAGCCCTGACAGAGGCAGAGATCTCCCCTCTACCTGACCCGACGGTGCTGGGGTTTCTCCACCCACAATGCCCTGCACTCACTAGCTGGCACGAGAGCAGTTGCACAGCACCACCTCTGTGCGGTCCCCTCAGAACAGCATCCCTACACACGCGCACACAACCGGGGCAGCAACACCTGCCACATGCAGCTGGCCCCGGCTCCCTGGGATGCCTTTTTTTTTTGCCAGGTGAAGCCCTTCAGTATTTAAACACAAGTTTAAATAACTTGTTGCTGCGAAGCCATTTCTCAGATGTGTTAAGGTCCCTCATCATTCTCTTGAAAGGCAGGCTGGTGCTTTCCCTTCTAAGAAGTCCTCTCCAGACAACAACTTCAGCTTTGCCCTGTGTCCTGAGGCCCAGCCTGCCCACAACTTCCCTTTCCTGACAGCCAGCCTTAGTGTCTTTGGACTTGCTGGTAATAAAACACATTCATGTACACAACAGCACATAGAGCCGTCGATTGGTTTTGCTTCTCTGCTTGATCCCTGGACATTCACTTTAGGGACAAGTCCAAAAAATAGTTAAAGAATTCTCCCTGGAACTCTCACTCCATCTCTCCACCAGACAGGGCTCAGAACCTAGGCCTATGACCGCGTTAACTATGCATGATCCCAGGCATCTTAACACAAATCTTGGGGGTCCTCATCTGGAAAATGGGAATGTCAGGTACTTGGCAACGACGGACAAAGGGCACTAATAAGACAGTAGAAACAGTTCAGGTTGATCCTTAGATGGCCCAGGCAGGCTGGATTCAAACCCAAGCCTCCAGCCAGACTCCATCCCAACACGGACTTCTTGACGATAGCAGCACAAGGAAATGCAGCCTGCACTGCCATTTGCTAGTCAAGCCCCTGGGAAGAGGGAGAAGCCATTTGCAAGCTGGGAAGACCCAACCCAGGCACCCCCAGGAGAACCTCTTCAGCAGAAACGAAGCTTCCAGCCCAAACTCACCTTGTAGAACTTTCTGAGGTTCTCTTTCTGAGTCTGGTTAATGACGGTGAGAACACGGGCGATGGATTTGCGAACAACTCGGCTACAAGACGGAGACATCGGTCAAGATGGGGAAAGACACCCAGCTCCCCCCATCTCCCCTATTCCCAGCCCGACGCCTGCTGTCACAGGGCAGGGGACAGCTCCACCAGCGCATCCACATTCACGGAGGAGGAAGATGCTCTAGAGGGGAGGCCAGTGGAGGAGCTGGAGGGGTGTGGTGAAGAGCTGGCAGGTGGGGATAGGGCAGGAAAGAGCTTCACCTATGTTCAGGGTTATGGCTGGGGATAAGCTCACTGCCAGTCATGCTGAGTGATGCTCACTGGGAAATGAAGGGTCCTCAGGGGGTGGTTGGTAAAAACGGCCTAGAGGATTCAGCGCGCAACTTACTTCAGTGTCCCCAACTCATCCCATCTTCTCCCAACTTAGCAGTTAAGGTGTTGGGGGCATCACACGTAAGAAAAAACCTCCGGGGGGTGAGCCAACATGCCCATAAAGGAAGATGTGGCAGAAGTGGGATTTGGAGCCAGCTGGGCCGGCTGCGAGCCCGCGCTCCAGTCACTCTTGATCCTGCCACTTAAGGTACAACCCAAAAGGGGGGTAGGGCACCCACCTGCCAGATGAAAGAGGCAGAAGAAGAAAAAGCACAAGTGTGAGGGGCCCAAAGCGGCCTCTGCAGGCACATTAAAGAGGGTCTCGGGGGTCTCTCCAGCAAGGGCACTTCGGCAAAGAACCGCAGGTTCGAGGAAAAGGCCCGAGTCTCCCGCGCGCCAGGTGAGCAAGGGGACCGGGGAGGCCGCCGGGGAGGGCGACAGTCCCCCCCGCCCTCACGGCGGACGCTGGAAACGACCCTCAGGCTGCCCGGAAACCGCGCCCGGCCTGGACGCGCGGGCCCAGCCCCCGCCGCGGCTCGTCACTCACATCTTGGAGAGTTTGGAGGCCGCGCCGCCCGTCACTTTGGCGACGCGCAGCTGGGACAGCTCCACCTTCAGGTCGTCCAGCTGCTTCAGCAGCTCCTCCTTCTTCTTGCCGCGAAGGTCCCGGGCCTTAATCTTGGCCTGCGCGCACGCCAGGGCCCGGTCAGACGCCCGCGGGGCCGCTCCCCGCGGCCACCCGCCCGGCACCTGCGTCGCGGTCAGCCCCACAGGGCGCGCGCCTCGCCCGGGGCCACCAGCGCCCGGTGGGCGCGCCGTCGTGCATGCCCGCTACGAGGCTGCGAGCCCCACTCCCGGGCTGGAGGGCGGAGGCCCCGGCAACGCGCGCGCCTCTCCCGACCCGGGCCCGCAGACGCGAGAGGGTGAAGATAAGGTAGTCTGTGGAGGCATCAGGCCACCCCCCACGGCGTCCCCCAAGCCCGGTTGGGAAACAGGACCCTGGGGCTCACCCCGCGCCCCCCACCCTAGCCCCCGAGCCCCACAGCACGCGGATGGCGCCCGATTCCCCCAGCCTCACCATTGCTGCACAAGCCGCCGCCGCCTGCTCGAGGGAAAGAGGAAGGGGCGGGGCTGACCTCAGCAACTACTGCCGGGTGGAGGTGGGCGTGGCCAAGGAGCCCCGCGGGAGCCCCGCCCCCGACACCTCCCCCTCCCGGCGAGGAGCGCGTGGGACCGCCCCCAGCCCCGCCCCCTCCTGGAGAGGAGCGCGTGGGACCGCCCCCAACCCCGCCCCCTCCTGGCGAGGAGCGCGTGGGACCGCCCTCAGCCCCGCCCCCTCCCGGCGCGGAGCGCGTGGGACCGCCCCCATCCCCACCCCTCCCGGCGAGGAGCGCGTAGAACAGTCCCCAGCCCCGCCCCCTCCCGGCGAGGAGGGCCTGGGACCGCCCACATCCCCGCCCCCTCCCGGCGCGGAGCGCGTGGGACCACCCCCAGCCCCGCCCCCTCCCGGCGCGGAGCGCGTGGGACCACCCCCGCCCCCTCCCGGCGCGGAGCGCGTGGGACCGCCCACATCCCCGCCCCCTCCCGGCGCGGAGCGCGTGGGACCACCCCCAGCCCCGCCCCCTCCCGGCGAAGAGCGCGTGGGACCGCCCCCAGCCCCGCCCCGCCCCCCGGCTCTCGCCCCCGCGCGGGAGGTAACCCGGGGTTACCGCCTGAGCCGCGCGACAGGGGAAGCCGAGGCCGGGGTGAGCGCCACCTCGCCGGGGATGGCAGCGAGGACCGGAAGCTTCATTCTTTATTCGTTCCCTCCTCCGGCCACGCCGCGCGGATCGCCCTCCGCGCCGCCCCGACCCGCACCCCTGGGCCCGGGGTGAGGAGGAGAGTGAGGGGCTCCCGGGCGGGAGGGGAGGGTTTTCCACGCTGAACTAACTCGGCCCCTGCTTCGGAGGAATCTGAAGCCCGAGGTGGCGGGCGGGGCGGGGGCGAGCAGGGGTGCGGGTGGTCACCGGCCGGCGAGGCCGCGTGAGGATGGGCGGGGGCGGCGCGCGCCTCCCCTCGGACCTGCCGCCGGTGGCGCTGCTGCCCGGGCCGCGGCTTGCGGGAGGGCCGGGGCGGAAGGGCAGGCGGGCTCCGCCTGGTGTCGGGACCCGGGCTCCAGCTCCTGTTTCCCACGCGGAGTCCGTGTCTTCAGCGCCCGAGAGTAAATGGCCGCGTGGTCTGGCAATACTTTCTGACCTGCAGACGCAGCTCCAGGGCAAGTGCTCGGGAAAAACGAGTCACATTTCGTGAACGACTGGCCTTTATTAAACAGAGCACGACATGGAAGCCAAGCGCAATTCCGTCCGCGGCGAAGGCCCAATACCAAAACCCTCAAGCGACAGCCCCGGCCCCGGCCCCCATCTTTCCCATCTCAGACCCTGGGGAACTCCATCTCCTGCAGGGCGCTGCCCCCCCAGCCAGGGCCGCCCTCGCAGGGCCCCGGCCTCGCCTCCCCTCCCTGAATGGGGGCCGAGCGTCCCCCCCCCGTGCCACCCCCGCCCGCCGGCCTAACGCCGAAGGCCTTCAGGATCTCCCCAGCTCTCGGGGTGCGCTTCAGACGCCTTGGCAGCGTCCCGGCCCTTCAGGACCCTCCCTCTGCACCGGCCCTTCTGCGCTCCGCGCGGGGCGCTGGCCCGGGCGTCGGGGACCCGAGACCCCGGTCTCCCTCCCGGCCGCCGCCGCGGGGGCTGCTCCTCGGGCAGAACCACGGCTCATGCCTCGGGGTCCAGCGCGAAGGCCTCCCAAGAAGCTGCCCCGGCAGAGCTTGGTTCCTTCTCCTGGGCACCCCGCGCCCTTCAGGCTGGGCCGTGATCACCCTGAGTCCGCGGCCGCGCCCCGAGCCCGTCGGGGCCGGGGGCTCCCGACGCAGGGGGAAGCGGGAAGGCGCCGGGCCCGCGCGGCTCTAGGCGCCCGCTCCCCGGACGCGGAGGCCGGGTCGGCGAAGGCGAGAGTCCAGCGGGGGGCCGGGGGCGCCCCCCAGCTCCCGGCACGACCCCAGCTCGGCTCCCCTCGCGGCCAGGCGCCGGCCCCGCCCCCGGCTTCCGGTTCCGGCGCCGGCCGGAAGTGGGCGGGCGGCGGCTGCGCGCGGGGGCGGGGGCGGGGGGCGGGGCCGGCGCCCTTCCCGCCCCCGAGCCGGCGCCGGTGCGGAGCGGAGTCGAGGTCGGGCGGCGGCGGAGCGGGCAGAGCGGGCGCCGAGCCCCGCCATGGCCCGGAACACCCTGTCCTCGCGCTTCCGTCGGGTGGACATTGACGAGTTTGACGAGAACAAATTCGTGGACGAGCAGGAGGAGGCGGCGGCCGCGGCGACCGAGCCAGGCCCGGACCCGGGCGAGGTGGACGGGCTCCTGCGGCAATATCCTTCCCGCGCCGGCCCCGGCCCGGCCCCGGCGCCGCGGCCCAGACCCGGGAGGCGGCCGCCCCTCGCGCCCCGCGGGCCTCCGCGGCTGGCCCTGGCGCCCCGCGCCGCCCCCCGCGCGGAAGGGGCCGCGGGCCCGACGGGGAGCGCGAGGTGAGCCGCGGGGGAAGGGGCGGCCGGGGCGCCCCGGGCGCAGCCTCGCGGGCGCGACTGCGGCAGCTCCCGAGAGGAGGTGGGTGGAGGCTGCGGGGGAGAAAGGCCGGGGAGGCGGGCTGCGCCCCGAGTCCGGCACCTGCGGGCTGAGGGTGCGCCGCCCCCGGGGCCAGTGTCGCCCCCGCCTCGCTGCCGCTCGCCCGGCCCGGCCTGTCGGGGGCGCCGGGCCCTGCACCTGGGCGTGCGCGCGCCGCCCCCGAGGCCCCTCTCGTGCAGGAAGCGGTGGGAGAAGCTGGTAGTTGAGAGCTAAGAAAAGCCAGACAGCACGAAGCGAAGTGTAAAAGTGGAGCCCTGTGACTGGAAGTGACTGTGCTTGTGGTCACAGAAAACAGGCATCTAGAAACAAGAGTAAAAATAGAGGTGGGCGTCACGGCCCGCGGGGCCCGCTGGCAGGTTTAGCACAGGAAACTGCCTGATTCTCACAGGAAGGATTTTTCTTTATTGAGATGGTGTTGCAGGAAGTCCCTGCCCCTCCCCCACGCGCCAGGGAAGGGCTGGAGGTTCACGCTGTGTATAAATCAGGTTCTGGGAGTTTCGTCGGTTGACTCAGCTTGGGAAGGCAGGCCGTGGACGGCCTTTAAAACAGAAGCCGTCATCCTTTGAACAGGAATGTGTTTTCAAAGGTGAGGATTCAAACTTGTATTTCCTGCCCCTTCAGGCTCTCCTTGCTCACGCCTTCGGTGAAATGGAGTCATGAGCGCTCCTGGGAGGGAAGGTGGATTCTGCAGTCTGGCTGGGCGCAGGCCACTAGTGCCCAGGGGCGCCAAGGTCAGGCCGGTGGGCCAGAACCATCTACAAATAGAGAGGACAAGGTTTGCTGGTTATCTTCTGTCTTGATACTTTGGACTTAGGGAAGGTCATCGCCTGGTACTCCTCTGATGTGATCCGTTCCTGGAGGTGGCTTGCAGGCCAGGCTTAGCATATCTGGGGCATGGCAGTTTCTCCACTAAGGGCAGTGTCAGCCTTGTTGCCATGGAGTGTACCTCTGGGGATTGGGGAAAGGGAGGTCAGCAGGTGAGAACTGAAATCCTGGCAAATGTGGGGTCATAGAGGAAAAAGGAAAGAACTGATGTTTACTGAGTCCCTGCCCTGTGGCAACAGTTGGACTTAGATTACAAAATTTATAGCACAGACTTCTGGGAGTCTTGGGGAGAGGCGAGGGGAGTAGGGCTAGGGGTTGGCTGGAGAGAGGGAGGGCAAGGAAGGGAAAGAGTCAAGATGGGAGATCACCCAGATGAAGTACAGAAGGGCGGTGGGCTGTGTGACCTTGAATAGGTCACATACCCTCTCTGGACGGTAGCATCCTCCCCCGCTAAATGGAGGAGAACCATGCCAGCCTTCCAGGTTCCCTGGGGATATCACTGAGCAACATCCTGGAAGGTTCCTGCACAGTGCTGGGCGCACAGCAGATCTGGCCATTCGGCTTCGGTCTCTGGGTGAGTAGTGTAATGGATTATAGAAGGAGCTTGGCTTTGGAGTCAGGCGTACTTGGGTTTTAAGGCCAGCTGGACCGCTTAGCTTTGTGACCTTGAATAGGTCAGTTCCCTTCTCTGAGCCTCAGACTCACTGCCTTTAACAGGAATGATTCTTGCCACAAAGAGTTGTTAGCAGTAATGAGATGACATATGAAAGCACCTGGCGCAGGCTCTGAGACTTTGTAGAGATTTTCTGGTATTAGTTCCTTTTGTGCTTTGCTGAAGCAGGTTCTGGCTGTCTGGAGCAGGGATCTGTCCAGAGCAGTGGTCTTGAGTGATTTCTGTTCCTCCTTCCCCCAGGGAAAGTTTGTCAACCTTTTGGAGATGTTTCCATTGTCATAACTTGGGGTGTTACTGGACTCTAGTGGGTAGAGGCCAGGTTGCTGCTAAATATTCTACAGTATGCAGGACAGATCTCACATCCAGAGATCACCCTCCCTGAAATATCAGTGCGAGGTTGGGAACCCTGATCTAGAGGATCTGACCTGCAGCGCATCTTCTACAGCCACGTGGAGCCTTGGTGGACTGCACCACAGAGAGGAGGTGACTTTAAAGCAGTGACTTTTTTGGCACCATGCACTGGTTATCGTCACCCTTCCCCATGCCTCTTCTGAATGGTTGGGTTGCTAGTCCTTCCAGCTAGCATGCCAGCTGCGTCTCTCTCAGGCTGCTGGGACTGCTTACTGTTCTGGGATGCAAGGTTAGAGAAGCGTTAGCTGGTAGAAGTTATCAGCGGTTTATATCAGACTGACCCTTGCCCTGCTGGGGACAAAGACACAGGGACAAAGACACGCAGATATGGAGTGGGGGAGGGCATTCTTTCTACTCAGAGCCTAGCAGGGGGTCAGGGAGCTCCTTGGGCACAGCTCCAGGGCAGCCTGGGCCCAGCTCTGTCACCATGGATCCCACACCAGGGAAGCTGGGATGCGGCTCTGTAGGCTTGGTCTGTTCACACGTGGGTATCCTGCATGAACAGTAGAGACCCGATTGGGCAGAAGCCGTTCCTTGTTCTATTTTTGAAGCTTTTTGGCTGAAGCCAGTGTTTCAGATGAGGAAATGAAAGTCGGATGATGTAACTCAGTTTAAAATAGGTGTCACCTTTGGGGACCTAACCCAGATTGTAGTTTTCTTTTGAGTGCTCAGTATTCAGAAATCAGCAAAGACTGGTGTCAGGATTGCCACCAAGTTTTGGGGGGGGGGGTGCCAGCTTGTTGACAGAAGGCACTTATAGATGAGTAAGTTCCCCTGACCTGGTCGCAGTTGGGGCCTCAGTGATCTTAGGTAGGACTTGGAAGATAGACGTTTTAGCTCATTCTAATTTGAGTAGTTTAACTGATAATACTCATTGGATGAAGAGTCAGGAGACCTGTGCTTTCATCCTTTCCCTGTTGGGAATGAGAATGACAACCCGGCATGGTGGTTGTGATGGTTGTGAGGACGCGGACAGACGGAAATGCTTGGGCCCCCTGGCGTGAGGGAGCGCAGTCGGCTTCTGCTGCACACTCCGGCGATGACCTTGTTGCTGTACCTTCCAGGGAGTGAGTGTGTGTCCAAACTTGCTTTGAGGGGATGGTTTCGGGGATGCCAGCAGGGGGACTTGCAGGTGCCCTCTACCCTCTCGTTGGCTCAGGGAAGCTACAGGTTAACCTCTAAACAGGTTTGCCCACCAAGAAGTCGGCAGTGGGTGGTGGGTGGACATGGATAAGACGCCGTTTGACGGGGCTCTTGAGCTGTTTCCGAAGAGCTCATTAATGAAAGCACAGACGTAACGGCCAAGCCATCCTTAACCGGTGCGATGCACAGGGGACATGCTCCGGGCCTTTCACGCCGCGTTGCGGAACTCTCCCGTCAACACCAAGAATCAAGCTGTGAAGGTAAAGGGCGTCTCCAGGCAGCTCTGCTGGGTGGTGTTGGGGCTTGGCTGTGGTTATCGTCTCCCCACTGTGTGTGAGCTCCCTGGGGCTTCTGTTTCATCTCTGCACCAGTGAGTGTCTGCCGGGGAGGGAGTTGGCACCGGGCAGTGCTTCCAAGGAAGCCGTCAAAGCTGTCAGTGTTTATAGTAAAAGCTCCCCAAAGAAATGCTCACTCCTCCCCAGGGCCTCTGGGCTTTGAGAAGTCGGTCCAGCCCTTGCTGATTAGCAGAATTATAAATCAGCTTGCCATGGCAGGGCTTCTCAGCGGCGCTGCTTTTATAGGCTCTTGAACAGGCTTGATGCGCACAAGGATTTTCAGTGCTTCTGAGATCTGCTGCCTTTTAAAAACTAGGTGAGAAGATACACACAGCTGTGCTTGCTGCACTGAGGCCAGAAACGGGGTCCAGGGGAAGGGGTCTCTCACAAGGTGGGATTAGCCAAATGGTGACAGCGTCTTGATGTGACCCTTGGCTGCACTCAGATGCACAGGGCAGCAACCCAGTTATCGGGCGTGGGTAAGGTGGGGAGCTGCAACCAAATCAGCCTTTTTTTTTTTTAAAAGAAAATAGGTCTCCACAGTTGTGATTCCTATGGCATCTAGGCCTCGCCGGTATCATCAATAATAGTGATGCTTCTCCACAGTAAACCACTCTCCACCCTCAAGAACAAGTGGGGTAACTTATTAGTAAGGGACACCTTGGAATTTGTCAGCAGGAGCTTCAGCCCTCTTATTTTTTCTAAACACCCCAGACCAAATACAGTAGAAATCGTGCAGTTTTTCTAGTAAGTTCTGCCTGCAGTGGTAGACGTGGATCTGCCTGGGCTGTGACTCTGGGCCTCACTCCCTCTCTCTCTCCTCTAGGAACGAGCCCAGGGTGTTGTGCTGAAAGTGCTTACAAATTTTAAGAGCAGCGAAATTGAGCAGGCTGTGCAGTCACTGGACAGAAATGGCATTGACTTGCTAATGAAGTACATTTATAAAGGGTTTGAGAAGCCCACAGAAAATAGCAGCGCAGTGTTACTTCAGTGGCATGAAAAGGTATGTGAACACGTCACCCATGCAGACAGCCCACGACTTGCTCCAACCCAGGGTTCAAGTCAGCAGGTCAGACCTTCCCAAACGGACGGACGGTCTGTGAGGGTATAAGCATAAGGGGTCGTGCCTAGCCACCTACGATGTCTGCATACTCCCCTCTGGAAGCGCTTGTCAGGGCCAACCGGGGCCTATTGCCTCTGATAACCGCAATTGCATTAGCTGCTGGCTTGTGAAGACACGGGGCCGGGTGACTTGGCATGGTAGGCAGACAGGCAGGCCCGTGTGGGAGGGAGAAGGTGGGCTTGCTGCTGGCTGATGCTTCATGATCCTTCTTTGCATTGGTGGAACGGGGCTCTTAGCAATGGTTGCCAGGGCTCCCTGCTTTGGCCTCAGCCTGACCAGGCCGAGGGGGCAGTGGCCGAAACCTTGACAAGTCACTTATTGGGCCTTCATCTACACGAAGCCAAAAAGGCTGTGCCTGTCCTGTCCTCTGCTGGGTTCGGTAGAAGAGCAAAGCCTCGTCAAGCCTGTGACCTGTCTCTGTGCCTGTGTCCCCTGTCCTGATAGGCAGGAAACACATCCGCCAAGAAAGGAGGCCAGCCTATTATTAAGACTGCCCTTCCAGAAAGGCGGTTGAGCTGTAAGAGAATGGTCCTCTAACAGAGGGCTCAGCCACGGGGGCAGCCTCAGTAGTGCCGGGCTGGAGTTGTGGCCTCGGTCCTGCCGCACCTCGCTGGTCAGGTGAGCTGCTGAGCTGAGCGGGTGCGGTGGCCGTGGCGCTGGACAAACCAAGTGAGCCCACTGCATGGTGGAGGCCAGACCCTTTGGTCCCTTCAAGGCACCAAATGCCTGACCCTGTTGGCAATTCTGAGGGCTCTGGGGGGCAGCTCCAAAGCACCAGTGCTGTAAGTGCCTAGAGCGGTGCCTGGGGCTGGAAATAATGGGTGTGTCACAGTGAAATTTGGGGGCTCTGCTATGTGCTTGGCCACAGTGTCCTCAAGCCCAGTTCTGCTCCTTGAAATCCTTGACTCCAGGCAGGGCTGCGTCCTAGAATGTGGGCTTTGTTGCTGCCTCCTAACTGCTCTCGAGGGAATCCTTTCTCTCAGCGTCTGACATGGCGGGTCCTACATCGTGGCCCCTCTCCCGGGGAGGCCGGGCACCCCTGGGCCAGCCAGGTCTCATTCACACCTTTCCTTTTCCTGCCCCACAGGCATTAGCAGTAGGAGGACTAGGCTCCATTATAAGAGTTCTTACAGCGAGAAAGACTGTTTAAAATAAAAAGGGACTCTTGTTACCTTGCGAAGAATTTTGGATGCCCAAGCCGGTGAAGACGGGATTGACAACGACCATCTTCCTAGGACTCCCAACTAAACTATTGCAGGACGTGCATCCACTCAAGTGTATTTTATTTTCAAGGTGGAGGGAGAAATCGTCTTACTGTTTCCTAAATCCTTTGCAGGATCTGATAGTCTATGCCTTTGTCCACAAGAATGCAGAACTGACATTGTGACTGTCTCCCAGAGGGACTGGCCAGCGTTGGTCAGGGATACCTGTGTGCACTGCCTGTTTAAAACGGGAGCGGGATGATCCGGGCAGGTGCAGATCCAAGGGCTGTGGTGAAAGGGAGAGTTGTGTTTTTTTTTTTTTTTTTAAGTGGAAAAACCCTGAGGGTTTGTACAGCGTCCGACCTCCCCCAGAAGCCGGGCTCTCTTGGGTTCCTTGTAAAGTGCCTGCTGCATCAATAAAGCTCTTGGCTTATTAGATATACTTGCAGTGTGTTTTATATATGTCAAACAAGAATCGTGGTGAAGGGGATGGTAATAAGTGAGAGGTTGACTCTTCTGGAAACCGGATGTGGAGGGAATAGACCGATGCCCGCCTCACCGTCCCTGGGAGCAAGCACAGCCCTCCAGCCACCGCAGGGCCTCAGGCCTGGGCCACCGTGCTACTGGCTGCTAGGGGGAGATGTTTTGCTGAATAACTATTTATTGTTTTTACTCCTTTGATTTGTATGTAATTTTGGAGCTTATTTAATAAAGTGCCAAACATTCAATAATTGACCTAGGCTTTAAAAGTCTTCAATTTGTGTGACTGCAATTGGAATCTCTTGGGAGTGGGCCTCAGGCCTGGTAACTGGTTCCTGACTGGGTTCGGCTAGAAAAGCAACACTGTCTCCTACAGCCACTAACAGTAAGTTTCATTAGAAGAGCAAAAATGATCTTCCTTTTCAGCCACATAGTGCAGTTCGCATTCTGTTAAAGGGGAGGGCCCCATTCACATTTCTGAAGTTCTTCCCAGTCATGCAAGCCATGGAGCTCTGCGTTGACCATGGTGACACAATCCTCCCGACTCCTGCAGAAACCCCAGCATTCCAGAGAGGTAGGAAGGCCGCTGGCTTCCCTCGATAACTTTGCACTTCCGTATGCAATTCCAAACCGCTGGGGTGGCTCCTCCTGAAGAACAAATGTTCTACATGGCCCTTGAAGTTGGCCTGAAGTATTAAACAGGAGAGGCGATGTACTACGTTTAACAAGAGAAGGAGATAGTGACACCAAACTACATCAAGTAAAACCCACTGCAGTTGCATCTGGATTGAAGAGCTTTAATCAAAAAGTATATTGCACCACAAATGAATTCTCTACAGCAGTTTTAGATAATATAATCCCTATTTACAACATGGAGGGACAGATCCGGATCTAATATTGATATAAAGGGCTATGTATACTGTCTATCACAGAACATTTTATACAAGTAAAAGTGCATTAAATCACTTAGAATATTTACTCCATTCTTTTTAAAGCTGAATTCCACATGCAGGAGGAAAGCTGAATCAGAACTCATCCTCCCTAAGCGAAAACGGGCTTAGTGATGGGCTCCCTAAACTGCCCTAGAACTGCTGGGGGGTGGTGAGCGTGAGGCCAGCTCAGGGGCTGAAGAAGCCACAGAGGAGTTGAGGGGGCTCCCACAGCCGTGTTGTAGCTGCTCTGGCAAGCCCTGAACTCCCCAGTCTTCTGAGGGGTTCTCTCCTGGGACAGCTGGAAGGAGGAAGTCCTGTGTTATAGAAAAAGCCACCTCTTCTCCAATTACAGAAGGGAAGGGACTCCTGTTCCTGTCCCCAGGGAAGTGGGGAATAGCATTCTAAACACCAGACAGCTGCAGGGAGGGGCCCCGGGAGGAGGTAGGTGACTGGGGAGTGGGGGGCGTGGGTGGCAGCCTGAGCCGGGCCGAAGGTGATGCTGTCCCTGCTCCGTAAGTCCGTGGAAATGCAGGAGGGTTCCTACAAATCCTTGCTTTTCCGTGAGCTGTACTTGGTGTTTTAACCCTAAGCAGAACTGAGACAACTTTACATCACAGGATAACTGATGAGAAATTTAGGAGCTCCAGGTACTGGTGTTTCACTTAACCAATGAAACTTGTGTCAAATTAAATCAAACGATCTGACATTGTGACTTATCCAGGGCAAGCCTGTTCCCGTGTCGCTAAGAGCCCAAGCCAGCGGGCTGCCGTCCCTCCTGGAGCCGGCAGTGCCAGCAGCACTGCAGCCGGGGCCGCTGTTGACACCGCGTATGGGTGGGCGGTGGTCACCTGCACGGGCGCGAGGACATGGAGGGGGGGGGCTCCGCTTACAGGGCAGGCCCTGAGCGGCTCGAGGACAGCAGCCTGTCCTTGACAGCAGGAAACGGGATGACCACTCGCTCCGTGGCGCAGCATGGAGAGCAAAGCATCGGAATCCACCACTGCGGCAGAGGGAGGTGCACGCCGCGGATGCCAGCCAAATGCCAAAGGGACGGGATCCCGATCTTAGAAACCATGTCCTCTTGCTGACTTCCTTCAAGAACATCAGCTGGGTGGATTTTGTGATCAGAAGACATGTTTATAATGAAGAACAGCTTCAGCTATAAAAAATATTGGGTGGTTTACCAGCAACCTATCCGAGACGTACATTCATTAGAAGGCAACTGAGTGTATTTGGTGCTTTACTCAGGATCTTTTAATACGTTTGCTGCTTGGCTTCAGCACGCCGCGTACTCCTGAATCCACACTGGCCCGAGCACCATCTAAAGCCCCAGGTGGTCTGAGCAGGCGAAACGACGTGTTCTCGAGAGGACGTTAAAAAGCCTCTTCGAGCTCATCTGACCAAACATGCTACCAGGGAAGGGGGGGTTCCAAAAGGCACCCCCACGGCGTTAACTGCGCAGAAGCAGGCGGTGTGGCCGGCTGGGCACCACTTCAAGGGCTGCGTCATCTCAGTCAGGGGCGCGGCCACCTGATGGGTCTCTCGCCGCCTCTGACAGACAATTCCGTTCAAAGTGCTAACGTTAGCAGGTGGGTGCTGGCCGCAGCTGGCGTTTCCACAGCCCTGGCAAGGCGGCGCCAGGGCCTCCCGTGGGGGCCCGGGCGACCGAGGGTCGGCTCCCTCTGCGGGCCAGAGCAGTCTGCAGGGAAGTGGCCTTGAGTCTTGTAAACAATGTTTAGACGCTTGTACAAAATACTGCAGTTACAGTGATTAAAAACCCACCCAGGCCGGTGTATCAGTGTTCTTTTCACAGAAAAAGTGTCCGCCCCCGGAGCTCCGCGCTTGGCAAGTTCCCTCTAGGACCACGGTATCCGCGGGTTGGAGATAGATGGCCGGATGCTGCCCTTGGGCGCCGGCTTGGACCCAAACCACGACATCTGTTTGAGACACAGAGGCTCCTGAGACCAGAACTGGGGCCAGGCCCGGGGGAAGCTGAAGGAGCCCCTCCCCGGGCCTGGGCGCCCCCTCCTGCCCTCGGCGCAGCTGTGAGCAGGGCAGGGGAAGCCAGTGGTTAACTGTCGGCAGCTGAGCCAACCAGTAGGTGAAACTGCAGGTCATTTTCCCCTAAATTTTGTTCTATTAGATCATTTATGCAACTACTTTTGGATTTTTCCCCCTGAAGTCTTTGTGCTAGGCCAGACCTGGGTCTGCCGAAGACGTGTATCAGTGAAAAAGTTTTGGAAAGTACAAGACCTGTTGGGGACTACGGCACAGGCCTGGGGCACAAAGCAGATCCTGAGAAAATCCTGCCCGAGGCAAGTTCATCCTCAAAAGCACCCTCTGAGCTGACAGTGCAGCTTGGAACCGGTCTCACTGGCCAGGGCTGGGTTCCAGCCGAGCTCTGGGGGAGCCAGACAGCAGAGCAGGGGACCCTACCTTATACTCCAGCGTTTCTTTGAGCATATTCTCTTCCTCTTGAGAAAAGTTGAGCAGCACTGATACTGCTTTTATGAGATGAAAAGCCTGAAAGAGAGTATAAGTTGGGCTGCCGTAGGCCTTGGTGGGGGTTGGGGGCGACACGGTGGCAACTTCCTGGTGCTCCTGCACCTGCTCCCACGGAGGGGAGCAAGGAACAGGCAAGGGCGCAGCACAGCGCACTGAAGTCTGACGCAAGGACAGGTCCAGTCTCCCGCGCCATCTTTACTTCAGGGACCACAACAGGGCCAGGACGCCCAGAGCAGCTGGGAGTCCCGCTCCTTGGCAGGAGGCAGGGCGCTGGGCACGTTCTGACTCGGCCTCAGCATCCAACACACTTACCAGGAGCCAGTTCCCTCGTGGCCGCCGCTGCCCAGTCAGCAGGGCAGTGGCAGCTGGAGAAACACCTAGTGTCCATACTGGGTCAAGTGGAAATGTGGGGAGGGAGGGAGAGATGGGCCTGACGGGAGGCCGTGCAGGGTGCCATCAAATGAGCCCAGCCCTGGGGTGGACCTCGGTGCCCCAAAAGAGCCCAAGCCCATTACCTCGGATTCACGACAGGACATGAATTTTAAGACCACGTGTTTAAGGTACTCGAAGTTAATCTCGCGGGCATCCGTCAGGTCAGCGTTATTTGTGACAGAAGGGGCCAAGTTTGCCATCTCAGGACCAGGCTTCTCGCGGACTTCAAAAAGCTCGTTATCGGGTCTGATTTTCTGAAAAACCAATGGGAAGGTGCTACATGGAACCTTGGAGACAGGGCTAAGGTCACCTGGGAGTCTCCTGGCCCAGGCTGTGGCGCCTCTTGTTCCTGTGCCACACCCTGCACTCAGCAGGGTAAAAAGGCCCCACTGGGAGGAAAGTGCCAGAGTCTGAACTAGGCTCAGCCACCCCCAGGTGGGGTGGGGGAGGGGAGAGGCCATCTGGGGAGCTGTTCTGACTTCCCAGAGACCCTTTGCAATCAACAATCAAGTGGGGGGGGGGCTCATCAGACAGTGAGGGACCCCAGGAGGACCAGAGAGCTGGGGATGGCACAGGTGGTGGGACGAGCAGGGCACTCACCAATTCCTTCTGCAGGGTTTTTTTGAGTTCCAGCATCCTCTGCTGCATCTGCTTTATGGTCTGAGATAAACCCCCGCCCCATAAAAAGCCATTTGTTAAATGCGCATTTCACCATCTTTAAGGTACAAAGGAAAACGGCATAGACAGACACCCCTGGGTCCCCATACACCTGTTAGAGAAGTCCCCGCCTTGTCTCTCAAGAGGCTGGGTCAGCTGTCGCCTGTGTGTCTGTGACCCCAGGGCCGTGCCCTCGCGTGCTGCCGCTCCGCATCCGCCTGCTCTCTCAGCCCGGCCATGGCGGTGAAGGTGTCACGGCCCCGTGTGTCACGTCCCACATGTCCCTCAGGACTGGCTCCAGAGCTCGCGACATGTCTGCTGTGTCCCCTGCCCTTAGCAACTCTATGCGCCGCGAGCCCCGAGGAGGGTATTCAGGGCACATCAGGTGTGGATTATCACCGCTGCTCACCTGAAACACTCTAAGAACCCGCACTGTGCGCTGGGAGCAGTGGGAGGGCCGTGGCTCCACACGACCACCTGCACAGGGGCTGAGATCTTTTCAGTAAGTTTAATTTGTCTTCTGAACCTTAAGTATCGCCAAATACACATTCTACTCATCACTAGGAAGGATGAACTGTTTTCCCAATGTCACCATTTTTAAGTAGATAGAATTTTGAACAGTATTTTTCATTTCTCAGTTTTCACAGCTTTCCTAACGGTAATACTAAGTGGGACAGCAGGGGACGCCCCATGTCTCACTGGGCAGCTGAACTGCCATTTTTTAAACAAAGCTGTATAAGCCTTGTGTCCTCGAGAGGCTTCTTTGGTCTCTAGAGAGCACCGGGTCAGAGGGCTGTGCAAGTGCCTCCAGCTCCTGTCAAACCTGTTAAACCACCTCCAACAGCCCATTTTATAAATGTTTCATGTGGTTTCAATCTGTATTCTCTTGGTTGACCAGGAGGCTAGAAATTGCCCCTAGAGTAGCAATACATTTGCTATCTTACTTTATGTAACTTATTTTCTGGGCTTTGGGCTCATCTATTCATCCAACAAATATCCCCACGACATGCCAGACATCGGCCGAGGGGCTGGGGAAACAGCAATAAAGCAAGCAGGGCCTCCCTGGTGGTGCAAGGGTTAAGTCTCAGCACTATGAAGATCCACCTGTTCTGTTCCCCACTCTCTCTCTGGTGAATCCTCTCACCCTCCCACACCCCCTGCACTTCTGCCTACACCCCAGCTCTTGTATGCATAAATAAATCTTAAAAAAAAAAAATGAAGACACACACGCACGCACACACACACACACACACACTCACTCACTCACACAATTTGGGGGCAAAGTTCTAGGCCGGAGCAGTCACAATCAGCAGTCACTTAACCCCCTCAGACACTGTAAAGTCAGGATCCAGCGAGGCCCGCAGTGACAGGCGCAGAGGCCTGGCCAGTGGGAAGAATCATGACATTTATTCAGCTTCTGCCACGGAGCAGAAATTGTACAGGACAGTTCCCACACTTTCCTCTCATTCTCCTGTTCCCACAGAGCCACTCAAAGGCAGACCTCACAGCTCTCACTCCACGCTGGAGAAAGGCGCAGGATGAGCAAGGGCCAGCAGGAGCCGGCAGGCTGCAGCAGAGGTGGGGCAAGCCCAAGACTCCCGCTGCTCAAGCCCTAACAACCCCCCCCCACACCGTCATCTCTAGTGGGGGAAGGGAGTGCTGGGGGGATTGTGATAGGAAGACCACGGAGTCCCCGGAAGAGGAAAATCAGGAAGAAGCCTTTTTGATGAAAGAGGCAACCAGAGCAGTCTCCCCAGAGCAGCCCGGGACATCCAGGAAACCCTGCAAGGGCGGACTGAGGGTCAGGCACAAGGGCAGGCACAGAGCAGAGACAAAATGCCTGGGATAGAGGCTCTGCACCTTATTCTTCTCCAGAAGTTGCTGCTCCAAGTCCTGTTTCTCCTTCTGCAGCTGCTCGAGATCCATGGCGCCAACCTCCCCATTTGGGATTCCCTCTGGGGCAGGAAGCTGGTACTCGGGGTCCTGCGAAGCCCTCAAGGTTGCCTGCAGGGAGGGGGCAGAAAGGTAAGAGCCAGGCCAGGCAATGCTCAAGCCAAGCCAAGGTTCCCAGGGACAGGTCCAGACTCATTCCACTCTGTGCTCCTGGGGGTGGATGCGGGCACTGCTTCGGGCGGGGCCCAAACTCCCGCTGCAGAGACCCTGCCCGAGGCACCATGCACGCTCAAAAGGATGGGCTCTGCTGCCCGAACACTGACACGCTGCACATCCCTGGGGCATTTCCAGCTTCACAACATCCTGGTCAGTGAGTACCCCACTTTCAAGGAAGCTAGAGGAGAGCAGTGTCCTGCCCCACACCCCGTAGGCAGGAGCACGTGACCACGAGTGCTCCCCAGTGTCTCCCCACACCCATACCGGTCCCCTGCAGCCCTGAGTCTCCCTCAGCACACACTGCTGCCATGCCAGGGCCCCTGAGGCTCAGCTGGGACTCACGTGAGGTGCCACCCCCTGCTCCTGACCCGGCAGCCTCAGCAGGTCCTCCGGTGCGCCCGCGGCCTCCGACTCCTCTGCCTGCAGGCTCCTCAGGGCCTCCAGCTCAGCCTGCAGCTCGTGCATCTGCTGGAGGGCAGACTCGTGACCTGGTCGGACAGAGGATGGGGAGCGCTGTGAGCCCAGGGATCGTGCTGCCTGGGAGCCGGCACCTCAGGGTGGGCTGCTGGGCAGAACAGGGGAGAACAGAGACCCCTCACCTTTCTGCAGCTGGAGAATCTCCTGCTCTTTCTGGAGAATCACTTCAGTCTTTTCCTGCAGATTCTGCTCCTTCTCGTCGATTATAGCTGTCAAGTTAGCAGCCTTGGAGAGAAAAATCAACATGAGAGAGTTAGCAGCAGTAACCCCATTTCCCTCAAAGGAATCTCTACTTTTCTACTACCCAGACACCCCCATAAATTCCTCCCTGAAGCCCAGCACCTAGAACATGCCCCGAGCTCGCCTCTGATCCTATAAACACCCACAAATCAATGCTCCTTGGCGGGGCTTGGCTCGGGGCCTCGCTCTCGGTGTCTCCCTGGCTGCAGCAGGCCCAGCCGAAGCCCACAGATTCTGCTTGCCTTCCCCCAAGCTGCCGCAACCATAACTCCCATGTCTAAGTGCCTGTGAGCACCCAGCTCTGGGTGGGCATTGACACCCCGCCTCCCCCATGATGCCATCCTGGAAGATGTGATTGTCCTTGTCTTTTCAGAGGCGATTCAGATTTGTTAAGGGCTCACCAAAGGCCTAGAGCCAATCAACTAGAAGGTCTGGGGCCATCAGCCAGGGAAGGCTTTTCCCACCCTTCCTTCCAGGAGCGCTGCTGGCTGTGGTCTCTGGGGCCCGCGGGCAGCGCTGACCAGTGTCCCACCTTCCAGAACTGGGGCCCACAGGGCCCGGGGAGCCGTTCCCAGGTGATGTCTGCCACTGGCATTAACTGACCAAAAGTCAAAAACACCTTCCTACGGGTCAGGGCTGATCGTTTTCCACTTGCCGGAGCCCTTGGGTTGATGCCATTCCTGCGTCTGCCGCTTGCTCGTACAGACGGGGAGAGTTGGGCTGGTCCTGCCTGGGCTGAGGTCAGGGCCTTACCCCTTTGGCCACTCCTCACGTGGTCCCATGGGGCCTACCTGCTGCTGGAACTCTTCCTTCTGCTTCCGCACCTCGTCTAGGGCCTGAGCCACGGCCACGCTCACAATTTCTCTTTGGCTCCATTCTTCCTACAAGCCAGGAAACAGGGAAGAAACTGAGCCCCAAAACTCAGTCCACGTGTTTTTTAGCTGCACACTTGCCACGAAGCCCCCAGAGGGTACACTTCTTCCTGAGGTCCCCAGGCTGCCCTCTTGCTGTAATGCCTTCTGCGTCCAGCAAAGAACCGCCCTGCCGGACAGCCGACTGACCTCTCTGGAATGGGCATACTGCTGAGGGCCAGTCAGCCCAGGAGCACACCAGCCAGCACGTGGGTCAAGTTTAGGGGCCAAGCTGGCCCCGAAGAGCTGCCCTGAAGAAATCAACACAGACCAAGATAGCCTCTCAGGCCCACGTGAACGAAGCAGTGTACTGGAACAACGCAGATACAGAACAAATAATAAGCAACGCGTGAACACTACCAGGCACTGACTTCTCAAAAGGACGCCAGAGAACAGGAAGCAAACCGAGGCTTTGAGACACTGTCATTTGCCTGATGCCCCAGAGGCAGCATGTGGCATAGCCAGGCGGCATCTGCCTGAGCTCAGAGCCCAGCGGTGGGAGTGGGGGGGTGAGGGTGGGGAGAGGGGGGTGGTTGGGAGGGGAAGCCCTCCTTGTTTCCTGCCACAAAGAGGGCTGCCTCGGTGGCCTTCCCCAGAGCGGACACCATCCCAGACAGGCACCCTGGTCCTCTCCTTAAGATTGATGTTCTGTGCGTGCCGGCCCATCATCCCCCAGGTGAACAGGGTTGCCCGGACACTGGTCAGGGAGGTGCTCAGGAGAAAACGTGTTTGGAGGTCTCTACCTAGAATCCCCCCCCTTTTGGGGTGGGTAAGAGCCTCATTGCTGATTTTCCCACTCCCACCCGACAATTTGTAGCCCCATTTGGGGGCTACAGGGATAGCATGAAGTTCCGACTTGGCCAATTAGAGGACCTCACCCCCATGGGCAAATCGACTTGTCCAAGGGATACTCTGTCACCCAAGATGAACCAAAACCCCTTTTATATCAGATCCCTCGTCTGCATGGTGAAGCTGGGTCCGCTGAGCTGCACAGTGTGGAGCTGCTGTGGGGAGGCCCCCTGACCTGCAGGATGCAGCCCCACAGCGGAGACCAGCAAGGATGCATGCTGGGAGACTGACAGGGCGAGGGAGCCTGAGGCAGGAAGAGAAGACACCTGAGGGTCCTCCATGGCAGAGGGATGGGGGAAGAAGTCAGCCACATGGCCAGCGGCACTCTAGCGCCTTTGATGGAGTTGTCAGAATGACCTCCTGAGAGTCCTCTGGGAGACAAGGAATATTGGTGCCTGAACTTAAGAGGCTGACAGTGGGACTCAGGCTACCCCAGACACACCTCTCATGGCGGGGATGGGGGCCCCACTGATACCAGAGGTGGAGCAAGAGGTGGAGCTACGTAACCCTCGAGGTGGTCCAGCCTGGCTCAGGGAGGCTGCAGGAGCCACTAGGACACCCATGTGCAGCAGCTTCTGCACCCGGAGGTGCTGGGGTGGGGGGGAACAGCTGTTTTGAAGCCCAGATTGACAGAACTAAAGGGACAAAGAGACAAATCCATGATCATAGCTGAAGACTTAGCACAACCCTCTCAGTAACTGATGGAACAAGAAGACCAAAAAACAAAGCCCAGAAAATACATGGATCAACCCACTTGGTGTGCCCGCGAGCAGCAGTAAACGACAGTCTTTTCAAGTGCACTGAAATATTTACCAGGATAGACCAAAGGCTGAGTCATAAAACAAATCTAAATAAATACCAAAAGATGGAAATCATTCAGAGCATTACCTAACCTTCATGAGATTAAACTAGAAATCCAAGGTATCAAGAAAATTCCCCAAAGGTCTGAAAATGAACCAGCTTCTAAATAAACCTGTGTGTGCAGGTCCAGGTCATGGTCGTGCCTGGGGTCCTGGGAAGACACTTTGCTCGGACCAGTGGCCTCATATTAGTCTCCGCCAGCAGGGGGCGTGCCGGGGCGACTGAAGGCGGGAGGAGGGAGAAAGACTTGCTCCTTCTTACTCTCCTGTCTGCCACCATGATCACAGCAACGATGCTCCCCCTGGCAGCAATTTCTTCCTGAAGGAGCAGCTACATCCTCTATACAGTCTTGCTAACTTTTGCAGCTGACTCATTCATTGCCCCATCCCCCAACACACACCCCAGTGTCCAGTGTCCCTCCTCAAGGGGTCTGGGTGTCAAATCCAGGGGGCTGCTCCTGTTCATCCCTAAGGGTAATCATTTCAACTTCTTCCCTTTGCTCCCTTAGGCCGAGGGTTGGCAGCTGATTCCTGTGCTACCTTGGCGAGGTCTTACTGTTTCAGGATCCAGGATGTGTTATATCATTTCTCTTCTGTATTTTCTATTTCACAAATTCCCTCATTAGTTCTACCCTGCTGTTAAACTCATTCATTATTTTTAAATAGCTTTACTAAGGTAAAACGAGCAATAAACTGCAGATATTTAAGGTGTGAAATATGATTCATGGTTAAACCATCACAATAAAAAGTGGAAACATCTATCACCTCAAAAGCTTTCTCCAGCTCATTCGTAATCTACTGCATCCTCGGATTCAGGTGTACATTTTCAGTACTAAAATTCTACCTAATTCCTTTTCAAAACAGCTGTCTTTTATTATACTTTCCAAATCTTCCATTTTGTCTTTTATCCCTTTAAACAAAGGCTAACCATAAATAATAGTAAGATACCTAAGTCCCTGTGAGAGTCTGGTTTTTTCTGTTTATGTTGTTTGTATTCCGCCTGCCGGATAATCTTCGATCTTGAATTCAAAAAGTATGTGCGGAAATATTTACAGATCTTGGGATGACACATTTTTCCAGAGAATTTTTGTTTGTTTTTTCCATCCAGCCAGGAGCACAGACCTAAGACCACCTTAACTCAGCAGTACCTAATGAGATTTTCTGGGCTGCCCCGATGTCTTTGATGTGCTGTCCAAGGGGGGGGGGGGGAGAGGGCGCTGGCTACTTTTGGTCCCCCTTACTCCTAGAGTGCAGCCGTCCAAAGTTCCAAACCAACGCTCAAAGGATCTCCCAGGCTGGATCCAAGGGTAGTTTAAACTCCAGCTTGTATTCCCCTAACTCGGAGAAGCTGTAACAAGCTTGGATGATCTTCCGGTTTCTCCTTCAGGACCAGAAAACACCCCAGGGCAAAAGCTGCTCCAAAGGCTGGCTCACTGCCTGGTAGACGCTCCCGTGCCTTCAGCCCATGGATAGTGGCTGGCGGTCCTGCCAGTCCTCGGGGCCAGAGGCCTGAACGGCCCCCTCTGCCTTTACCGAAGTGGAAGGATCTCCAGTCTCACTTTACCCTCCTCTGCGCAACCTCACCCCCTCCACTCCACAGCACACACTCTTGGCAAGGTGTCAGAGACCTCAGTCTTGCCAGATCTGGTGAGTCCCCTGTCCCCTTCGGGGCCTTCGGGGCTTCTGGGGTTCGCAGGACTCGACACTTGCCTGGCCTTCCTGCTATCCCGCTCGTTCCCCTTTTGTTCTGAACCTCTGAATGCTGGTCCTCAGCGCCGGCCCTCTTTCCCATCAACACTCACTCCACAGCCCCTTGGCTATAAATTCGACCTGCAATGTCAGCAGATATTTTTGGTTGCCAAAGTGGGGGCTGCTACTGACACCTAGTGGGTACTGACTAAGATGCTCCCGCACAGCCTACAGTGCACGTTTCAGTCCAGCCCCCCAACAAAGAAGAATGATCCACCCTAAATATCAAGAGTGCAGAGGCTGAGAAACCCTGAGTCACAAAACCCACGTCTGGGAGTTATCTCCAATCCCTTTTCCTCTCACTCCCTCCATTTAGCCAGTGGCAAATCCTAAAGGGTCCTTCTCTAAAATCCATCTTGGATCTGAATACTTCTTCCCATATCTGCAACTACCACCTTGTCTGGTTAACTGAAAAGCCTTCGACTGGTCTTCCTGCTTCTGTCCTTGCCGCCTTTACGGAGCTTCCTCCACAGAAGCTGAATAACTTTTTTTCCCTTCCCATTCGAGCTCTCAAATAATCCTTTTAAAATAAAACTTTTTTTTAAAATAAAACTTTTTAAGTCACTTTCCACTTAAAACCAGTAACTTCCCCCTTCACTATCATCCACATACCTCCCCAGCCCAGAAAGATGAGCCATACAGGCCTTTGTGCTATTCCCTGAACACACCAAGCTTTCACCCGCCTTAGTGCCTTCATATGTGCTATTTCTTCTGTCTGGAACATTTCTTTTCCTAAACACTCACATTCTTGTTCAGATTTTTGCACAAATATCACCGAAGTCCTATCTAACCTCCATGTTTCAGAGTCCCCTCCTTTCCACTCTCTATTACCTGTTTTATTCTTCAGAGCATTTATGACTATTCTTGTCTACTGTTTTCAGCTACAAGCTCCACAGGGAAGAGAGTTGGTCTTGGTCACAGCCACATCCTGGCGCCTAAATGGTACAATAGCACTTAACAGGTCTTCAAGTGTTTCTTGAAGGACTGCATGAAGACACTGATGCCAAAGAACATGCTCCCCAGGTTCAGCACTGCGGCACCCCCCAGACTAATGCAGCAGAGACAGCCAAATGGCAGGATCTCTTTCCTCATCCTCGAGTTATGTCCAGGGAATTAAGCAGTTGTCAGAAGGAAAAGGGTAACAAACAGCAGATTGTTCCTTCATGTCTGTGCATGGCCCGGATAGAAATGAACAAATAAGGATCCTTATGGCCTTGCTGTACTGGCCTCCCTGGGAAAGTCAGCACCACAGAGCCCCCTGGGCAGCTGCTGACAACAGAGGAAGGCCAGGCCTCTGCCGGGGTGTGAGATGGCAGAGCAGCCCCCCTCTCAGAGGGAACTGGACAGGTTCCCTGTCCAGTTTGGAACCTTGACGGCAGCTGCCAAATGAGCACCTGTCTTCCCACTATCATGGGTCCCTGAAGGACTCAGTGTGGTGACAACTTCTAGCAAAGTCTGACCAAATGCTAGTTCCGCTCCTTTTCCACTCTAAGCACAGAACTTCCACTTGGCTGCTCCAAACACTTGTGTAAAAGATGTACTATGTGAAACTAATTCCATTAGCTAAATACCTTTAGCTTCTTTAGCTCAAGTTGGTGATGCTGTAAAGAACGTTCACATTCACTCCTACTTTCTTTAAGGGCGGCATTTTCTTGCTCCAGCTCTCTCTGCAAATTGAAAAGAAGATACATACAAAGCAAAGGCCTTTACCCTATCTCCCAGGTCACAGTCCTACCTCTCTGACATGCCACCTTGAAAAGGTCTCCCCCCGCACCATTACTGATGGGAAATGAGGATGGGGGTGACAGTCATACACAGAGAGCCACTTGACAAACTCACAAAAAAGACATTTGAGCCTGAAGACTGCAGGCCAGGGAGGGAGACCAGGGAAAAGGAAGCCTAGAGAGGAACCATGTCATCTTTAGAGGGCGGTGGGGAGAAGCTGAAAGCCTGCTCAGAAAGATCCAGAAATCCCAATGAAAAGGAAACCCTGTCTGTTTGGGTTTTGGTATAAAGCAGCCTATTAACATCCAGTCTCCTGAACAGCAATCTTGTCGGAAAGGCAAAAACTGTTCCAAAGAGTGGATCCCTATTTCAGAGCAGGGCTGGTCTTCCTGTCACAGGACTGGTGTTTCCTGTCCTCCTCACCTTCCCCTGCTCTGCGGCAGACAGCTCGGCCGCCCGCTCTCTCTCCAGGGCCTCGAGCTGGGCCTTTAGCTCCTGGGTGCGCTGGGAGCACTGCTGCTCCAGGGCATGGCTGGTCTCCTTGTTGGTGGCCACCTGGGGGCGGTTGAGAGGGACATAGAACAGTTACTCATGGTGACAAAGGTATTCAGAGGGGTCTGATTTTGTTCCTTGGTGACTCAAAGATGGGTGTCCAACAGAAACGTCTCCTTCCTGACCTACTCTGCCCGGGTGCTGCCACTGCAGGTCCTGGCCTTGACCCTGGCCTCCTGACCCTGGCCTCGAGTCTGGGTTTGGTCATGGTGCTGGGGGACAGCTGTCTACTCAACGCTGCCCTCGGAGGCTGAGGCTTTTTCCTGAGAGGTGGGGTAAAATAGTGGTGAAGACCAAGCCTCTGACCTAAGAAGGATATGGTTCTACCAGCTGGGGGACCATGGCTAGTCCTTCTGGGTCTGTTTCCTTTAGAAGGTAACAGTACACACCTCTCAGGTCTGCGGTGAAGACTAAATGAAAATATGTGTGAAGTGCTTAGCACAGAGCCCAGGACATGGCAAACATGCAAAAGATGCCGAGTTTCAAACTTAATACCTCAGCGGGGCTGTGACGACTGGCCGAGTCCTTGCTGTCTCCTCTCCAGAGGAGAGGAGCCCTGACTGTAAGCTGTGTCTTGACTGCAGGGAGCTACCGTCCTGGCAGCCTCAGAAAAACGCTGGGCCCTGTGGCAGTGGCCAGGGTGTCATCAGCCAGTCACTACCTTATAGGGTGACTCAGACCCTAGAGCAGATCCCGACTCCCTCAACCTGCTGACAGTCAGCACTACCAGATCTAAGGCAGGTCTGAATACCATTCCCGACGTGAGTTTGGGAATCTACAAGGCACAGGAGGGAAGAGTGCACCAGGGCCTGAACACAGCTGCCTCCAGAACCACTCACAAGCTCCTGAATCTGTGCTTCTTGAGCTGCTGCCACATCGTTGCTCCGCTTCAGCTTATCCTCAGATGCCTGCAGGCTCTGCTCGAGTTCCTTCACCTGAGGGGGGAAACAGAGAGTTCCTTTCAGTCTAAAGAAGCTGAAAATAAAAAATGGCTTTTAAAAGCAAATCTGCTTAAATTGCAAAACAGGTACATTATGGAAAAATTTTAAATTAGGAAAAAAAAAAAAAAAAAACCAAATCTACCATTACAAAATGCTATCACTGACTATGCTATCTCACTATTTTTTAAACAATTCTGGCAAAACTTTGTGTTTTTTCTCCTCACTCAGGTTTCCTTTTGTGTTTCCACAGAAGTGTGTTCTGGACTTAAGGTTAGTATTACTGTTAAAATAAAATTATATTAATTTGCCATTTGTTTACAAAACTACACACTTTTAGGAGAACAACTTCACACTCACACGTGGCCGCTCACCCTCCATCAAGGCCCAGAGTCACTGCCCCATCACTGTCCCTCCCATGGCCTCTTCTCAGAGTCTAAGAATTAAATTTTATGATGTTTTGCCAGTTTGTTTTCTCTGGTTACATACAGTCCACAAATGAGTGAAACCATCTGGCAACTGTTTTTCAGTTTCTGACTAATTTCACTTATAATCACCCCAGATCCATCCATATTGCCCTAAAAAGCACTAAGTGCCCATCGACAGATGACTGGATAAAGACATTCTAATAGAGGGCCTCCCGGGTGGTACAGCGGTTGAGTGCTGGGCTGTGAAGCTGCCCGCAGCCTCTGCAGTGCTGGTTCGATTCCCGACCACCAGGGAGAGTCCCACATGGCGCGCAGACCTCTCCTGTCTCACCCGTTGCTCCCCTCAACAGTGTACTTCGACAGTCTGCCTGTTCTGTTCCCCGCTCTGGCTCTGGTGAATTCTCTTAACCCTCCCACACTTCTGACTGTACCCAGTGCTTGTATAAATAAATAAATGAATCTTTAAAAAAAAAAAAAAAAAGACATTCTAGTAGATATACTCAATGGAATACTACTGAACTACTGAAAACAATGAAACAGTGCCTTTTCACATCCTAGATTAGCTCCTCAAAGGGTGTTTCATAATTTACTGAACACTGTCTACTGTACTGGTACTTAGGTTGTTTTCCATTTCCCCACTGAAAAAAATGCAGTAGTTGACATTTTTTTTAAAGATTTAGTTTATTTATTTATGCATACAAGAGCTGGGGTATAGGCCAGAGGTGTGGAGTGGTGAGAGGATTCACCAGAGACAGAGTGGGGAGCAAAACAGACAGATCTACTGAAATACACTGCTGAGGGAGCAGCGGGCAAGACAGGAGGGGTCTGCTGAGTCAAGTGGGTCACCTCATTGGCTAGGGATTGAACTTGTGCTGTAGTAGCTGTCAATAGCTTCATAGTGCTGAGATTTAATCTCTTGAGCCACCAAGGAGGCCCAAGTTGTTAACATTTTTATGCAAAAGTTTTCCATGGTTTGAATTACTTCTTTTTTTAAAAAAAAAAGATTTATTTACTTATGCATACAAGAACTGGGGTACAGGCCAGAGGTGCGGTGTGGGGGGCGGGGGTGAGAGGATTCACCAGAAACAGAGTGGGGAGCAGAACAGGCAGGCTGACTGATATACAATGCTGAGGAGAGCAGTAGGTGAGACAGGTGAGGTCTGCTGCACCATGTGGGTAGCTCCCTGGCTGGCTAATCCACATGGTGCAGCAGACCTCTGTTCCTCTCAGCAATGTATTTCAGTCAGTCTGCCTGTTCTGCTCCCCACTCTGTCTCTGGTGAGTCCTCTCACCCCCTGCACCTCTGGCCTACACCCCAGCTCTTGCATGCATAAATAAAATAAATCTTTAAAAAAAAAAAAGAAGGAAATACTGGCTTATGCTAGACTGTGATTGGACCTTTAGACATTATATTAAGTGAAATAAGCCAGAGAGAAAAGGACAAATATTGCCTGATTCTACCTATATGAAGAACCTAGGATAGTGAAATATACCGACACTGATTAAAATGGCAAATTTTTCAATGTATATTTTACTACCAAAAAAACATCCAGAATGTTCAGAAATAATGAAGAAAGCTGTGGAGCTTCATTTGAACAGATTTATCAGAAATCTAGATTTAGCAAGGGAAAAAAAAATGCAAGCAAAGGATATGAATGGGCAATTCCAAAAGTAGAAACCCAAAACACAAACAGCCACGTGAAGAGATGGTCAAACTCATTAGTAACCATAGCAATGCAAATTAACACAATTAAATATCACTTTACACTCACTGAACTGGCAAGAAAATTAAAAGGTTGGGAAATGCCAACTCTGGAAAAGGCAGAGATGAAGATACAGGAAACTTCATGTATGCTGGGGGCGTGGGGCCAGGTGCAGCCCTTCTGGGGATACTCTTGCCCTCCTTAGTCACATTAGGTCATGCGCATTCTGGGTCTGCCTTAAGGAGACAGGGGCAAGATATTCATGGCAGTGCCATCTGTGGTGGCAGGAAGAAGGCGGCGATCTGGACGTCTAGCGCCGAGTAGGTAAGTACAATGAAGCTGACACAGGTGGGAGATGGAGAGTGGAAAGTAACAGAAGATATAGCTCAGCTCTATCATTTACATAAATTAACACACATGCACACATACCAATGCCACCCATTTTAAGGTGACCCGACAATAAAATGATCTCTATTAACCACACTGGAATGGTTTCCTATGGGAGGAAGGGGAGCAGGGATAAAGGAGAATAAATAAAGAATAACTTCGTGTGGAACACCGATGTTAATGTGGCAAAAACGAAGAAAAGTGACTAACTCAACCTGTGTGTTAAAGAAAGATCCAAAAAATAGCCCCTTCAAAAGAAAACCACTAATTCAAGAGGATTCTCAGCCACCACCATGTGAAACCGCCCCCTCCCCGCTCCATCACTGGGAAGGAGGGCAGTACCCGAGTCTCCAGGATGTCTATGGTCTTGGCCTGGCTGATTCTGGCTGCCAAGAGCTGTTGTCTGGTATCCTCCAAATTTTGCTCAGCAACTGCTTTCTGTAAGGTGAAAGAGTAAGAGAAAACGGTAACTTCTCTGCTGGATAAATGCTTACTGATACTGCTACATACAACCATCTGTGCTAGGCATGTGAGACACCAATAAATTTTTAACAAACAGCTGAGATAAAATTCACCTACATAAAGTATACACAAATGTGCCACGGTTTGTTGACCGTGAGGCTGGGGGTAAAGTCTAACAAGAAGATAAAACAGTACAAGAGGGGCCCACAGAGCTGGGGACCCTACAGCTCAGAAAAGTGGAGGTTTCATAATCCAGGGGTGGGTGGCATGGTCTGTGCCCAGGCAGAAGGATAACCAATTCAGGTATGAAACAGCCTGGGACACTTAGGAACTGAAACTTGCCAAAAGCTAAAGTGATGGCGGACTCAGGACAAGAAACAAAACTAGAAAAGTTTTTTTGTTTTTTTTTCATGTTGAAAAAAAATTTTTTAAAGATTTATTTATTTATTTATACAAGAATCGGGGTATAGTCAGAAGCACGGGAGGGTGAGAGAATTCGCCAGAGCCAGAGCGGGGAGCAAAACAGGCAGACTAACGAAGTACACTGCTGAAGGGAGCAGCGGGCGCAGCAGGAGAGATCTGTGCACCCAGTGGGACCCTCACTGGCGGCCAGGGATCGAACCGGAGCTGCAGAGGCCACGGCAGCTGCGCAGCCCAGTGCTCAATCGTTGCGCCACCATGGAGGCCCTAGAAGTTTTTTATGCTGCAGAAAGGGGTCTGAACTTAACTCTGCAGGGAGTAAGTTTCTAAGTGGGGCCATCCAAATACCATCGTCAGATATAGCTGGGGGCTGGGGGTGGGTGGTTGTGAAACTTGAGGTCTTATCCAAAGTCTACTGAAATCAGAATTTTGGGCGGTAGGGCCAGAGAGATATATGCTTTAAACAAACTCCTCAAGAAAGTGCTATGTGTGCTAAACTTTGTAATAATGATGGTAGGAAAGTGATGATTATAATAGCTAAAATATATGGAGACTCTCTATGTTCTAAGCCTCAATCTAAGCATTTCATATATTAGAACTCATTTAATCCTACCCATTCTGTGTCTTTGATACAATTAATAACGTGATTTTACAAAGGCAAATTAAATTGCTTGCTCTAAATCACAAACTAGTAAGTAGAAGAGGTGAGATACCAATCCAGGCAGTCTGATTCCAGAAATCAATGTACACCCGAGAACCCACATTACATACACTGGAGACTGAAGGGGAGTTATGGAAGATGTGATGTGGTCAGAAATGCTGTGTAGGAACATCAGTTTGGCAATGAACATGGAAGACCATGGCAGAGGACGAAGGTGGGTAGGCCAGTCTGGAGACTTCTAACAGACTGGGCTAGAGCTGCTGGGAGCCCAGAGGTAGAGTGGTGGAGATGGAGACATTTAGCTGAAATTGAGTGAAACAGGGTGATGGTTTCATCTGGACCCACGGCCTTGGCTTTGTCATGGAGAGGCCGATCCCTGGGGTCCAAAGAGGAGCAGCAGAACATGGGCAGAGGATGAGCTCAGACCTGATAACAAGTTCACCTGCCCTCTAGGCCAGCCTGCTCGTGTCTCCCTCCACTAAGGAGAGTCTGCTTGCTGCCCAGGGCAGCTGCTGCTCTCAACACAGGGGTGAGAGCAGTGGGAAAGGCACAAGGGTGGAGAGCACAGCAGGGCAGTGAGACAAGTTGCCCAAGTGGAGTAATCACTAGGTGGGTTCACTTGCAACTCTGAACAATGCTTCCCCTTCCCCCAAGGAAAACATGTCACACACAGGTGACATGAGGCTGTTTTTGCAGGACAGAAGAAATAAAGAAATAATAGAAATTGGAAGCTGGAGGGAGTACTCGTCTCACCAAACACTCTGCAGTGCTGAAACTCTAGGATATGATGAGACCCCCAGAGTTACACTGCCTTCCCAACACAGGCTGGCCCAAAAGAGCTAGCTACCTCTTTCAGGAGCTCCTGCACATGTTCTTCTCCTGAGAATTTCTGCTCCAGTCGCTTCTCCAAGGACACAACCTTCTCTTGCAAATGTGTGATGAGTTTTTCTTTTTCTTGAGTTTCAGCAGTAGCCTGCAGGTGGAAACAGAAATTACACTGCTTGATAAACCTCCTTTCTCCCCCTTCTGGCACTTCTCAGCCACGATGTTTCCTGGAAATTCCATTCTCAAGCATATTCTACAAGGATGAAACACCAGGAAATCACTCCTCAAAAAGGATACAGAAGATGTGTGATCAGAAGCCAGCACCACACAGACATCTACTTTAGACAGAGTTCAGCAAGAGGCAAATGTTCACCCCAGTCTAACCAACCGACAATGTGGAAAGAACAATGCTGTTACCTCTACAGAATCTAGCCAGGACCCTCAGCAGATGCCTGTCCTCTTTAAAATGACTGAACTGGGGCCTCCCTGGTGGCACAAGGGGTTAAGACACAACCTATGAAGCTGTCCGCAGCCACTGCAGCATGAGTTTGATCCCCAGCCAGGGAGGTGACCACATGGCACAACAGACCTCTCCTGGCTCGCCCATTGCTCCCCTCAGCAGTATATTTCAGTGAATCTGCCTGTTCTGCTCCCCACTCTGTCTCTGGCGAATCCTCTCACCCTCCGCACCTCTGGCCTGTGCCTCAGTTCTTGTATGCATAAATAAATGCATTAAAAAAATAAAAGTTAAAAAAAAATAAAATAACTGAACTGTATTATCACAATCTGCCAGCCAAAGGAATACCCCTCTTCCCATTTTCACCAAGCACATTTAATCCTGTTAACCCAGAGTCCAATGGGACATATATCATTACTCAACATGCCAAAAACAGCAGAGGGGATCTCACTCAAGCAGCTCCCAGACAGCCCAATAGTGACCCACAACCACGGTCCTGGAAACTGAGGCTGGATGGAGCAGAAATGCCAATGTAGCTGCCTTAAGGCTGAAGAGAGAATTAGTGAAGCAAATGATCTTTATCCTGGCTCACAGCAGAGCTGCCGGCATCACACCTCGGCCCCAGACCAGCGCTGCCCACTTTACTTTAGTCTAGCTCTTCAGCAATGATGGTGGGAGGCAGTGGCATGCTGGGACTCTGTCCTTTCACTGCTAATTCAAGTACTGTTCAATGTCAAAGCAGAGCATCAAGGAAGTTTTGAACATACAAGTCCTTAAATCCCTAGTGGCTCCTGCAGCCACGAAGGAAGCCCATTCTCCTCTGAAGAAAGGCTGCGTGGCTCCAGCAGTCAACGTGCAGACCTAGACCTCCTCACACATACTCCACCTCCTCGAGTTCCCTCTCCTGCCACTTCTGCTCCTCCATCTCAAGTCACACTTCCAGGTTTAGCTTGCAACCTGGTCAATCTCTCCTCAGAATAAGATGCAGCAATTTGGACCTAGGGTTTAGGGAAGACGTACTTGCCATTCTGAATTCTCACAGATGTGACAACATAGGTAGTAGAAGGGGTTTGCCTAACGGACTCAAAATCCCATAATTCAAGAGACTCTAAGCCAGCCTATACTGTATGCTCTTTCCTGGGGATACAATCAGATGACTCAGTTGCTGACCACAAAAGCATAGAGACTGGTGGCAGAGACAGTTATACACATAATTAATTGGAAAACAACGGGCCTCCCTGGTGATGCAAGGGGTTAAGTCTCAGCACTATCAATTATCCGCAGCCACTGCAGCCTGAGTTCGATCCCCGGCCAGAGAGCTGACCCACAAGGCGCAGCAGACCTCTCCTCAGCACTCCCTTCAGCAGTGTATTTCAGTAGATCTGCCTGTTCTTCCCATTCTGCCTCTGGTGAATCCTCTCACCTCCGGCCTGCACCCCAATTCTTCTATGCAAAAATAAATAAATCTTTAAAAACAAAAAAAGAACACAGGGCAAGGAAAGCTAAATGTATGCAGTGCAAGGGACAATCATACAAAAACCACTTTTCTGCTCAAATGGTGACAAGTAACATACCACTGAGAAACACTATTCTACATTCAATTATACTAGCATTCATCTTTATAGTCTCAGAATTAAGCACAGGCCTAGAGTAACAGGGCAATAAATTTATGTCAATCAAATGAAAAAATGAATTGTAATGATATCATTTACAAGCATCAGGACAAATTGGATTGGAAACAGGAATGTCAAAAGCACAGCCCTCCCCTTGTCAACCACCAGTGTTCATTAGCGTTTTCTGAGGTTTAGCGTCCATCAGGTGGACACATTTGAGAAGGTGAAATGGTGTGTGCTTTGTGAATTCCTGTCAGGGCAACACTGACTTCTGTGAAGCAACCACTGTTAAGTGATGTGGCCACTTCCCCTGATGGTAGCCTGGCTGGACCAGGAACAAGGGTCACAAGGACAACATGAGAAACAGGTTTCATTCATCAGCCATTGAGAGGCTAGAGTTTCCGACAATTTCGACCTCTCTTCATGGATCATTCTAGGAGCCCTTCCCAGTCCTATCCTTACCTTTTGCAAATCAGCAGAAAGCTGCTGGATCAATGCTTGCAGCTCCTGTTCCTTTTGCTCCAGGGCTGTGATCTTATTTTCTGCACCTGTTTTTGAAGCTGTCACATGATCTCTTTATGGAAAGGAAGCAGACAATGAACACATTTGGATATCTCATCTACGACACACTCTTCCACAGGAAAAATACAGATGGTTCTTAATATGTCAGGGCTGCAGACATTAACCTTGTGAACATCATCAATGGAGAAGACTCTCTGGCTCTCTCTGAAGCAGAAGGCCAACAAGAAAAATAACTGCACCCAGGCTGAAGCAAGAAATCCTGATCTGCCCTTGGTTAGTCATTAGCTTAGAAACTAAAATATACTGAATTGCTGGGCAATTGCTGGGCTGGAGTAGTTCTGAGCTTAGGCAGGTGAGATGGAATGAGGGTTTGGGGTAGGGATTCTTAGCCTAAGCAGACGAGGGAAAGTCCAGAAGTTTTGCCAGAACTGAGATCAGAAAAGAGCCACAGTGAGCAGTGGGAAAAGGTGGGCAGGCTACAGCCAGAGCTACACTAACACCACTTCCCCCGGGCCCCACAGACCAAGCAAGAACCTCTGCTCTTCCAGCGTTGAGGAGTGTCTCTGCAACTCTTCTAGCTTCTGACGCAAGTCTAAAGACATCTGATTAGAGGTCATCAACTCCTCCTGGGTGCGACTGAGTTCTCTGGTTCTGGTCTCCAACTCTTGCTCCATTTTCCCGAGACTTTCTTCTTTTTTTAAAAGCTGATACATGAAGACATAAAGTTTCAGTGGACCTCTACCAAGAAATGCACTTGAAAAAAATTTGAAGTGATAATCCAAAGTTTAATAACATCTCTGAACTCCTATCAGGGGCTTATATGCCCAGTTGTTTAAAAAAGAGGGAAGGATTTCAAACAGATTTCAAACAGAACATCCCCATTTCAATAAACTGAAAAATATACAAGTATGATTAATATCAAAGACAATGCGGGTATGTTTGTCAGAATTCGAGTGGTGATGTGCAAAATCAGAGCAATTAATCATCAGCATTAACTGCTAAAACACCAATGCGCACCATGTGCTTTACTTTACTCAGTTCCTGCTGCTGGAACCCCTCAAGTTCATCCATTTCATCTCTCCTTTGGAAAAGATTCAAACTCTGGTTCTTCATTTCCTGTAACTGAGCTGTCAGGAACCTTTTCTCCTATGTGGAAGAAGAAGAATCAATTTAGGTAGCGGGGACATTAGAAATCCGTATTATTTCAGCAGAATTCTTAATAAAAGAAAATTCTTTTTTTTAAAAAAAAGATTTATTATTTATGCATACAAGAGCTGGGGTGTAGGCCAGAGGTATGGGGGTTAAGAGGTTTCAATAGAAACAAGAGTGGGGAGCAGAGCAGGCAGATCTACTGAAATACACTGCTGAGGGGAACAGTGGACAAGACAGGAGAGGTCTGCTGCACCATGTAAGTCACCTCCCTGGCCAGGGATTGAACTCATGCCACAGTGGCTGGCGATAGCTTGAGAGCACTGACACTTTTTAGAGACTTTAACCCCTGTGCCACCAGGGAGGACCAAGAAAATCTTAAATTAAGGAAATCTCTTGTCAGTAGATAATAATACATTGATGATGGGAAGTTTTTTGGCAATTATCTACAAAGTTATCTATAGATTCTTCAAGTTAAAATACATGTGTTCTAAGTGGTAGTTGTGAATAAGGGTAACAACAGCAATAATGAATACTTTTAAGTTCTTAAGTTTGGACAGCAACCCCAGATCCTTTTTTCATGTCTATTCCCCCTGACACACTGATCTGGCTGAATAACAAGCACAACTAGAATAAGAATGAACGCCTATAAAAAAAAAATTGACACATTAAGAACTGATTTCAGTTATCAAACTCAGTTTAGCAAGTCAATACACATTAGATCTGACTGGTGGCAGCAGGTTACAATTTTCTAAATGACAGTTTCCCAAGATGCATTTTCTTGGCACAAACCCTGCTGTTGCAGCCTCCAATGTCTGACTGAAAAAATACTAAAACAGTTCAAAAATAGCATTTCCAAAAATCACAGTGGTTCATAGACCTCATAGACTGTTTCACTTTTTCCTTGTCTAAAGTATTTCCTGGCCCTTCCTTTGTGGGGAGGGATGGGAAAGAGCAAAATCCCCTAGTGAAATCAAGTAGGTTTTATTTAGCTTAGCTTTATATGGATCCCCCTTCACCATAATTTTAAAAGATAAATAGTCCAATGAGAATTTCAAATATGCAATCTTTGATATATAAGAAAATTTTAATCTAACAATCTAACCCACACCTCTGTATTAAAGAAGACTGTCATTAATACCATGTATTCAGAGTTTTTTTTTTTAAATTTTAAGAGCACAAGTTTCTTTGGGAGACAGCATGATTTTTCTGTAGTTCTTTTCTTACATAAATGTTAAAGTATTCTGATAGCTTTATAATCAGGTTCCTTCAGGATGCACCAAGAAAGTCATTGGTTTAACTTAATTTTTCACTGCAAAAAAGGAGCAATAATAAAACTCTCTGTTTAATAAAGCTAATAGTAAATATATTTTGTACCTGAACATCAATCTAAGGAATAATTTTCTATCACGAAGAGTAATTCAGGAGTATTCAAGTGAAAACAAGGGATAAGGCGCAGCCTAATTCCGGCTGAGGGGGATGACTCTAGCGACTATTTTAAATTATAATGTTTTTTTAAATTGCAGGCTTGAAATTTCATCTTCCTGTTCATGTCTGGGAGCCAGGAATACATGATGTAAGGAACCTCACACAGGGTTACACAAGCAATGGTGCTAGAAAAGTCAGTTCTCCTCAACCGTGTCAGTCAAGAGGTTCTCCTCTCCACAGTCAATGCTGTCTTAAGACAGGCCCTCCATTCCCACTGCCTCTTCAGGAAGTATTCGTAATGCTGCCACGGGTCAGGCAGGGCCCAGCAGGAACCAGAGGGCAGACTCAAACTAAGCACTTTGGGGAGAGGTTGATAAAGGGACTTTCCAAAGCGGCAGGCCAGGTACAGCGCCCAAAAGAGATGATGTGCCACTAACAATGAGCTTGAAGGGGCACAGGGATGAAGAGGTTACCGGAAACCCAGAGAGAAACTATGTCAAAGGGTAAACCACAGTTCCAAAAGAAGCTGTGACCTCCAGCCAGGGGTCACCTGAAGGGATCACACATGGAGAAGGTTGGGGGAATAAAGGGAAACCCAATTAGAAGTTGGAGCTCTGCCGATGCAGTCCCTATCGCCTTCAGGTGTTCAGAGAAAGGTGAGGGAGGCGGAAGGTACGTGGGGAGAGGCAAACGAAACACACATGGCACACCCACTAGCACACACTGGTGTGTCGGTGTCCAATCACCCGGTTTATGGTATAAGTGCCCTGCTTCCAAGGAGCGGTACAGCAAGCAGGACACTGGGAAGTGGAGAAAACCCTTCTCAAACCCCAGAGAAGAGGCCAACATAAATAATGAGACAAAAATAAAGATGAACTAACCTTTTCAATTTGATCCATCTTTTCTGACCATTCCTAAAACAAAACAACAAAAAAGTAGATTTCAGGGAAAAGTATCAGTAATAACAAGATTTTCAGAAAACAAAACCACTTTACTCCCTATCCCTTCTCCCCAACCATACTCCCTTTCCCCAACGCAAAGGCATCAACAAACAAAACCCATGCAGCTGACACAGTGAAAAAAGCCAAGAGTCCTACAAGGAGAAGAAAATAAACTTTATATAAAATTATAGAACACAAATATAAGCCTCCAGACTTAGACTGAGTAGAACACCCAGACAAAGCTGCATCTGCCACTCTCACACAGCTTTTCAGTTTACCCCTGCATGGTTCCCCACGAGTACTACTATAATTTCTTGGGAGTGGGTAGCTGAGACAAGTTGAATTGGTAACTCTGCAACTGATATTTAGAAATTTAATTCATTCAAGGTGGGAGCAGGGTCTTCAGCAGCACCTGTTAACTATTTTCCTTCTCTGCTTCATTTTACCCACATGCTTTATGCCATCCAGTATAAATTAAAAGGGTTTATGGGCCTCCCCTGGTGGTGCAGCAGTTGAGCGCTGGGTTGCGAGGCTGCCCACAGCCTCTGCAGCGCCAGCTCGAACCCCGGCCACCGGTGAGGGTCCCACAAAAAAAAAAAAAAAAAAGGTTTTATGCTCCTTTTGCACAAATCACAGGTGAAAAAAAAAGCACTGGTAGAAAAGATCATATCCCAACTGCCTACAATCAGAACCCACCAATTTTCTTCATTTATATACACTCATACCACAAACAAACACACTCATACCTAAACACTTTAAGTATTACTGAGTAACACATTTTTCTTCTGACTAGTAAATGTCTGAGGTGACTAATAGACTTTAAAATAACCAGCCAATAGTCCCTATCTACTGCTGATGAAATAAATTATACATTTTCTTAAATGAAACACAATACAATAAATTAATCCAGTCTTAATAAATCAGGATTATCATTACAATATATCAATGCTTAAAGTATTATTTAACAAAGTATACGTCATAATTATTGTGATAGCCAGAACAGTATTATTTCCCTTGCTTACTGTCCTTCATTCAGCATCTTCCAAACGATGATTCTGTTGAGATTATAGGAGTCCCTCTCTGTCTAGCTGGCTGGGGTTAAACAAATTTGGAGACAGAAACAATAATATCTATATACATCCTGGATGGTGATTCGCCTGACGACATCTTTCCCATTATAAAAGGCAAGTCTAGGCTGGGAGGCAGGATTTCATAGGTCAGAGACCTTTTTCTTTATCTTGGAGCTCCCCTCCGATTACAGACATACTATTTCCCTTCTCCATTTTACAAAGCTACACAGGTGTAGAAAATGATACTCTCACATTCTGAATACATTATACATTTCATGATTATAACTGTAAAGTTTCTTATTCTTTTTCTCCCAGGTAGTAAATATTTTCTACCAGATGTATAAATTGTTGAATTCATGTCACTAAGTGAAATCTTTCTGTGAGTGTTAGGCAGTGTCATATATAAAATACCTGATCTTTTCTGGCTAATGCCAAAGCCAGTCCTTCTGCCATTTTGGCTCTGTTGGCTTGGAATGTCTCATTCTGCTCTTGAAATTTCCGCATGGAAGCTGTTAACAAAAAGGCTCTATTTGAGATATGGAAATATTTCAGGAACAGCACGACAAATAGCCCATGTCATTACTTTTAAATATCACCTAATAAAAAAAGGCCAAGGTCACATCAATGGATTATGAGGTTGGGACAAACCTGATTGACTTTCCCTGAAGAATCTTTTGGTCTTAGTAATAGACCACAGTTTTTTTGTTTTATGTTTAGAAGATGCCAAAAGGTCACTTTTAAGTGGCACAATGATAAAACACTGAAAATTGCCTGAAAACACCAATGTTGTTGCTAAGTAATGGTTACTTTCACTTTGAGAATTAAAAATAAAAAAATCCAAACACAGGAAAACAGAAAGACCCCTCTTTCATTTTTTATAAATTATGTTAATAGGAAATGACTTTCTACTTGTGCTAGTATCTTTCTTGGACTGAACCCCAAGGAGAACATATTTATGCAGACTAGACAAATGGATCTCCTATTGTTCGAGGAGGGCCCCAGAGGTTCCCCATTACTAAAAACAGCAGCAGTGAAGTTACCACTAGATCCAAAATCTCCTAATCTACGCCCAAGGGGCAGGTTCTAGTCTTTACTAGAATCGAAGGGTAGCCAAGAGTGGTCAACTGAATGGAGACAAGTTGGTACACATAATGACATTCTCCCAAAAAGCATGCACATGAGGCACATAAATACGAGTTGTGTGCTTACCGATATCAGACAAATGTTACAGTGACCTGATTAAAAATAATCATTTGCGCTATGACAAGGGACAAATTTAATCACACACTATCATTTCATTAAAAGAAACTAAATCCTACAAAGATTGAAAAAAAGCAGGAAAAAAATACGTACAATCCTGGTGTTTTTCTAACGCAATCTCAAGCTTCTCTTTTATCTTCTGCAAGTTTCGGACCTGTTCAGCATAGTCTTGGGTGAGGAGGGTGACGCACATACCAGGAATGGACAAACATCAGGAAAGGAAGTTAATTAAACAAAAAAATGAGTGAAAGTGATGATGATTTTCTCAACCTGAAAACCATTCCTGTTAAGGAAAGCTAGGCAGACAGCCTCCCATTAACAATGAACAAGACAGGCAAACAGGTATAAATACAAACTATCCATGGTGTAAATGATGAAAACAAACAGGCAGATTTGTTCAGCCTTGATAAAGAATAAGGATGGGGCTGGCTGGGAAAACCAGCGATTTTTTTCATGACTTATTTTCAAATCTGTTTTCACTTTCAGTCTTAGCAATAGGATGGAGCAAAGGGAACTCACTAACCAGCTCACTTAGAGTCCACACAACTGAATCACAGTGGTTAGGACAATAGCAAATACCCTGGCATAGCACAGTCTTTATAGTGAAAGGACTTAATTCTCTAAAAGAGTCCTTTCTACACAGGAACTGAGCAGCTTATGCCCCATTAAGGTGAAGCACAACACCTTGCTGGCCAAAGATAGCATGGTTTAGTGAAAAGGTAGACAGGCTTTGAGTTCAAGTCCCAACTCTGTCAGCCCTTAGTTGGGAGACTTTAAGCAAATTATTGACCCTAAGTATTAGTTTTACCTACCTCAAAGGATTCACTTGACAATAAACTAAATGTTCTATATGTCTTAGGGGGTCCAGCACACATACTTAATAAAAGGTAGCAGCTATTATTGTTGTTATACATACTGAGCCTGCAGGATAATACTTAGAACATCAACAGGCTCAATAAATGTCAATTCTTTTCCTTGTCCCTTCTCTAACTTAAGCCAAGTGCAAACTAATTTTCCTCTTGTATTAGGGATGGTACCGACCATTTTATAATTTTCTCCACAACATTAAACATAAAGTTATTTCATTTCTGGTACTGATAGTACCTATAGACAGGGGTAGCAGAACAGTAACACTAGTATCTAGCAAATCTGGGTTTGGATCCCAGCACTACCACCTGCTAGCTGTGTGAGCTGACTTCTAAGCCGAGTAAGACTACAGTGAGAGCAAGATGAGATAATGGACTAATTGGTAGCTATGAGCCTTTGATACCTATACAAATGTTTTACAGAAAATTTGGTGAATTTTATACTTCACTGCTTTCACTCCAATAAAATGGGCATAAGGCCAAGGGACAAAAAGAAACACAGAAGCCACTGATCACTTCACAGGATGAAGCTTTCAAACTGTATCCATTGGTAGAAATCAAAACAAAAACTCACACCTTTATCACAAACATGCCCCGTCCAGGCAAAGGACTTAATGGGGGTTGTGTAAACTGTAAACCACACAAAAAAGATGTAATGAGTTATAGCTGAAGTTTGAAATATTGGTGAAAAGCAGTCCAAAGGACCAGAATAACACTCACACAGGTGATAGGTAGCTACACCAAGTGGCAAAACCCTCTCCCTCGCCCTCAGGGTCGGAAGAATCCCACATCTCTTGGCCATTCCCAGTGAATAATGTCCTCCCCCGACCCTCTCCACCTGATGCAAACTATGCTAGCAGGTGACAGACAGTCAAATCTATTCCACACATGCTTTCAATACCATTTCTATCCATGGCTAGAAACCTCGGGAGCAGAAAAACAGAAGTTTGTTTTTTTTTTTTACTTTAAAACTGAGTTTTGAATTTACACTACTTAGCACACTAAAGTAGTAAAGAACAGGAGGGTACAAATTGCTCCCTTTCAACTAAAAAGATCAAAAAATGTCAAAATAATTATAAGGTTATGCCATATGGTTATTTTATAGGGAGAGCAGGTCAGGCAAAGCAAGTCCTTTGTTTACTTTTTGAGTTTTTAGACATACCAGAAAGTCTGGCCTCTAATTTCCGTATCTGTTCATTCCTTCTCAAAAGCTGAGATGAGAGATCTTCTCTGGAGCTGCTTCCATCAGAAGCCTGTTTAGGGAGACACAATAGACACAAGAAGAGATTATATTTACACAGGGGTTCTCAGCATGTGAGACCACAGAACTGAACCAAAAAAGTGACAATTCTTATTTTAAGTTTTGTTACACAGTAATGAATTGTGATCACCAAAAAGCCACTGAACTAAGCTAGTTTCTCCATGTGTAAAGTAGAAGCAACACTATCTCCATCAATAGGCCTAGACCGTGTGAAGAAAGCATATGAGGCTAAACAGATAAATTGCATGTTATGTATGAGAAGGGAGTAAATGGTGGTAAATAAATCCATTATGATCATATTATTCCAAGTACATAATACTAAAAAATTTTTATTTTCAGTGGTGAAAAAGGAAATCACTTTATTTTTCCAAAGGTAAAGTCCTGGGATAAAGGGGGGATAAAGAGGAAATCAAAGGCTGGTCTGTGATAAAGAATTTATCACTGACATTTAAAAATTTTTAGTGTCTTCATCTATAAAACAAATGGATGTCAATCTAACTCTCTAAAATGCACCAAAGATTTTACCAGACAAAATGTATTTAATAAATCAGTATATTAATGAGACAACAAATTTCTCCAACAGTCTGTATTATCTTAAAACATACAGGGCACCACTACTATTTTAAGCACTACTTACTATTACTAATAACTAACTCACTATTTCTTTTATTCTGATCGAAAACTTTTTTTTGTAAAGATTTATTTATTTATGCATGAAAGAACTGGAGTGCAGGCCAGAGATGTGGGGGTGAGAGGGTGAGAGGATTAACCAGGACAGAGTGGGAAACAGAATAGGCAGAAGGACCGAAATACACTGCTGAGGGGAGCAGCAGGCGAGACAGGAGAGGTCTGCTGCGCCATGTAGGTTAGCTCCCTGGCAGGGGATCGAACTCTTACTCCAGTGGCTGCAGATAGCTTCATAGTGCTGAGATTTAATCTCTTGCGCCACCCGGGAGGCCCCTGATTGAAATTTTTTTTAAAGAGAAGAGTCAAGAGAATGGTTTAGTGAATATTCTCCATCTACTTTAACAATTGCTGATATTGGGCCTCCCCGGTGGCGCAGCGGTTGAGCGCTGGGTTGCGAAGCTGCCCGCGGCCTCTGCGGCGCCGGTTCGATCCCCAGCTGCTTCCCGGTCACCGGAGGAGGGTCCCGCATGGCGCGCAGACCTCTCCTGCCGCCCGCTGCTCCCCTCAGCAGTGTACTTCGGTCCTTCTGCCTGCTCTGCTCCCCGCTCTGGCTCTGGTGAATTCTCTCACCCTCCCGCGCTTCTGACTGTACCCAGTGCATGTATAAACAAACAAACAAACAAACAAGCAAACAAATAAATAAATAAGCATGCCTCTATAAAAAAAAAAAAAAAAAAAAAAAACCAATTGCTGATATTTTCCCACATTTTCTTCCTTATTTTTGTTTTACTGAAGTACTTTCAATAAGACATCATGACATTTCATCCTAAATACTTTGATCAACCTCTTCTAAAATATAAGGACATTGTCCGTTACATCAACACATTAGTACACCTAACAAAATTAAAAGTATCATCTAATATATAGTCTTTAGTCATATTTCCTCCATCTTATTTCCAAAATGTCTTCAAAGGTGGTTGAACAATTGACTGAAATATTCATTAGGCAACCCAGCCACGTGCCCATCAACATGGACTGAGACTCAGCACAGTGTAGTTAAGAGGGAGTGTCTGCAGAGGGGAGGCCTGGGCTAAAGTCCCATCTTCACTACCTATCAGTTACAAGATCTTGGAGAGATTGGTTTCCTCAGCTGGAAACTATGGTAACAAATGAGTTGTGATGAGGGCTGAATAATCAATACTTGTCATGTCCCTAGAACAGAGGCTGGCACACCATTAGTTTTAATACAAATCATCCATTATTTGTAGTAAAAGTATGATCGTTACTGTTACCAAGAGCTCCTATGCTCGGCATTGCGCTAAGCACTGGGGAGAGTAGGAAACAGCCCACCCTAAAACAGCAACAGCAGCTGCAGCAGCAACTACTAATTATGAAATGCTGTGACGAGCCAGGCCTATGGCAAGGCTTTCGTATACGCTGCAGAAAACAGAAAAATCAACATCACAGGCTGAGAGTGCTCTCCTTAGCATCAGCCTCAGCAAGGCCTACTTGTAAAGTTAGCCCTTGGCAGCCTAAGGAACTCTGATTTTGTAAGAGTTGCTACCACACCTGATAAGAAGGGCTCTCTGCACGGAAAATGTTTGTACAAAAGATATGGTTTATACTGAACACCTGTTTTCCTCCTGGGCGTCTGGCATTTTGGTAAATACTAGGCAGGCAAAGTGTACCTGTCTAGTTTCCGATAAAATGTCTGGCCACTGAGTCTCTAGTGAGTTTCCCTGGTAAACCTCATTTTACCACTCATAAGTGGGGAAATTAAACACTCCTTTGTAACAAGAGGAGGGCTCTGGAAAGTCTGTGCCCAGTTTCCTCCAGGCTCTGCCCCATACACCTTTTCCCTTTCACTTTAAGAAGGATAACAGAGAGGAAAACTACAGTACGTGGGATCCTGAGTCTGCCCAGTGTACAAGAGAACCTCGAGGTGAGCCCAGGGATGCCCATCACAACACAATTCAATAAAGACAGGTGCACTTCCTACTACCATTTTATAGGGGTGAAAACAAAGGCACAGAAACGCAAAGAAACCTGCCCCAAATCACACAATAACAATGGGGCAGGGACTGAGATTTGGGTCTGATTCCATAACCTGCCCTGGGCTGCCAACTGCAACACCGTCCCCTCTCGTGAAGCTCCCAGTTTAGTGGGAAAGACAAAGAAGCCAATCAACAAGGCAGTGTGAGAGGTGCTTTCACAGGAGGAAGGAGAGACAAGGGATGAAACTCAGTCAGGAGGGGTATAAGGTAGAGGGGTGAGAAGGGCAGCAGGGTCAAGGGGGTTTCTGGGAAGTAATGTGAGACCAGTCTAGAAGGGCGTACAAGAGTGTCAGGGAAATGCAGGCGTGAGAGGAGGAGACAGGAGACATTCCAAGGAAAGACACAGCATATGTGAACATTCGTAGGCAGGAAGGAATGCTGTCTATTTCAGGAAGGCCTTTGAAGTTCGATATGGCTAGAGCACAGGGTGTAGGAAATAGTGAGATGAGATGGAAAGGTGAGCTGTGACAAGACCCAAGAGTTCACCACTATACCATAGCAATGAGTTTGCACCTCACCCTGAAAGATGGGGAAGCCACTGAGTTTTAAGCACTGGAGAAAGAGGAATAGATCTGCTTTGGTGGAGGTAGGGAGTCCAGATAAGTTATCACATTTGTCCAAGGGATAAAGACAGAATAAAATGGAAGTAAATGCACTACTTAGTAAATGGAATAGAGAGGGTGAGTTCAAGACACTGAGGAGCTGGAAGCCAAAAAACTCATTGGCTGATTGGACACCAGGAAGTCTAAAATGCCTCCGAGGTTTCTTATTACTGACCTGGGGGGTGAAGCTGCACATTTGGAAATGGAGTTAATACATTCAGCTTTGTTCACTTGACAATATTAGATATGAGAGTAGAGGCACGTGCTTGGAAAATATATGTTATGAGATATAAGGATCTGCAGATAGGGAGTAAGGATCAGGAAATTACACGTGTATATAAAGTCCAAATAGGTTACTTTCAAAGTCTCAAAGTGGTTCCTGAATTCAGGTCAATCTCTAGATCTGGAATACATTCTAGATAAGAGACTTCATTTAGCATGTCAGCATGAAGGGAAAGCTGGTACTCTGCCACGGAACTTCAGCCTGGGGTCAAATGTGCATTTATATAGCCCTTTAAATACAGCAGCCAATGATAATTTAGATCTGGTGATCTTATTGTTCCACCCCAATAACCTAACAGCTTCTGCCATGTAATCTGACCAGGACAGGCAGCATAAGAAAGGAGGAGGAAGACTCATCTGACCATGGAAATAATTCAAATGTCTATCACCAGGAGAAGGCCAGGATAAACTGTGGGCTTTTCAAATACTGGAATCTTATAGAGCAGCAAAATAAATGATCAACAGCTTCATCTAACACACAATCTAGAAACATAGCGAGTCAAAAAAAAGTTCAAGAAGACTACATACACTATAACACTTTCATAAAATTAAAAAATAAGCAACATTGAACAACAAACTGTGTGTGTGTGTATGTGTGTGTGTGTGTGTTTCTGGACAGGATATTTTAAAAAGCCAAGCAACTTAAGAGAGTGATTATCTAGAAGGAAGGGATGTGTGTGAAGGGACTGGGAAGGAGCATACAAATAGCTTTAACAATATTGATAATGTTCTAGTTCATTGGAAAGGTGACAAATTCACAACCATTCATCTCATGCATTTAATTGCGTACATTTTTTACATATAGCAAGCATTATAAATCATTTAAAAAAACTCTGACTTTAAAATGATCCTGTCATAAACCAAAGACACCCTTTCAGTCCTAAGACCTGACATTCACCTGACATAGCAGCATCCTCACTTTCTGAAACCTTTCCAACCTGAAGGTACTGTACAAATAAGGGACACACTGTAGTCATCAATGACATCTTTTCAGCCACTTTTCCAACAAAACTGCACTCTGGCTAATGCCACACGCAACTCCTAGACCTTGTTAACAACAATGACTAAAAGTCTATATGTCTGTAGAGACCATAAGCTAAGTAAGGCGCTTTGAGAAATGAAAAGTGGAAGAAAACGCACAAGGTGTACAGATGAAAAAAGAGTACAAGAGGACAGGATAGAGAATCTGTAAGGGGATTCACAGAAAAACAAGAAAAAGTGGAAAAGTACCTCAAAGTGAGAAGAATCAGATATAAACTGCAAATAATGTTGTCATTTTATTTTTTATTTATTTATTTTTAGATAGACATTTATTAAACCAATATATTCTATCACCCTTTTCTGTTCCCATTTTATTACCAGATTCCACTTTTTTTTTTTAAAGATTTATTTATTTACGCAAACACTGGGGTACAGGCCAGAGGCGCAGGAGGGTGAGAGAATTCACCAGAGACAGAACGAGGAGCTGAACAGGCAGAAGGATGGAAAACACTGCTGAGGGGAGCAGTGGGCGAGACAGGAGAGGTCTGCCGTGCCACACGGGTATCTCCCTGGCCTGCCAGGAATTGAACCGGTGCTGCCAAGGCTGCAGACAGCTTCACAGTGCTGCACTCAACCCACTGGCCATCGGGGAGGCCCATAATGTTGTCATTTTAAAAGAAAATATTTATTGGATAGATTTTCTGAAGTATCACTTACGGGATATATTGAGACTGTACTAAAATATTAAAAACTAGAGAAGATACTTACAAAGTCATCTCCTGAGTCAGCTCCCATGGAGGCAACAGATTCCTTGCTCACCGACCTTGGGATCCTAGTAGCACCTCCAGGCCTCTGGGAGACAGCAGTCTCTTCTGCAATTTTCTTCTTTAGTTTTGCAAACATTTTTGCTGTGCGGTTATCCTGCACTGATGACCTGCTCTTGAATGACCACGGCAGGCCTTAGGCTAGCAATCAGGAATTCAGAGACAGGAGGCTAAAAAGTTCCAGACATCCAAGCTAGCTGCATCCCTACTTAAATGTGGGCCAAGGACTTATGGCAACACAGTATCTATAAATCAGATGAAAGAGAGGTCAAGGTTAAACACTGGAGAGATTTCACATCTGAGTTGCCATGTTAAGCTTCAGGTTTCAAAATTGTTTCATAATTTTACTGGTACATTTAATAGAACACAATTACTAAACACTTTAAAGGCACGTAGGTGCTTCATATACACAGACAAGGAAATTCAGTCACTGGGACATGATGTAACCTGCCAAAGATTATGTGGCTAAGTGACAGGGCTGGTATTTGAACTTGTACTCTGACTCACAAGTCCGTATTCTTTTTTTACTACACCAAGTTGGCTACACATATTAACACATTTAGCAAAATTTTCCAGTACAAACACTATCACACAGACTTTTGAGTTCTCACAATAATATTAACTACAGTTTAGGTTTTCTTTGGTTTTTTGGTAAAAGGAAGACAAAAAACGTGTAACTCAATATGGGGAAAAGGTATACTAGTCTAATGTTCCAGGATGGTCTGCAATCAGCTGTCCGCTAGGAAAAGCTGACAACCTAGAAAAAAGCAGGCAAACCAGACAACTATATTGTAAATAGGATCAGATATCCTTAAACAGTTCCTGGAAAAACAGAATGGCTGTCTTATGTAATGAACTCAAATAAGTTTCTTTTCTACAGAATGTTTCACAAGATACTCAACATGAGAATCAAACAACTTTTCCTCCCAATGTTGTATGGAACACTAATAACCTGGTTCCAACTTTAAATTCTCATATTTTGTGGAGGATAACTAAGGTCTGCTTTAAGATCTACAAACGACTTCTTACCACTTCAGATACATTTAAGTATATACTATTCTCCCAAAACTTTACCTTTCAAGGTCTGTAAACCACCTACTCACCTGGCTTAATCTACTAGATTTAAAACAGCTTGACGGTCAAAGCATTCTGCCCTGCATGAAGACAAAGATAAAACGCATTGGATACTTCCTTTCACAGTGTGAGGCGAAAACGTTGGGGGTTGGGAACGTTGGGGGTTGGGAGTCGGGGGCTGGGAGAGGAGGGAGAACTGTTAAGGGCGAAGGAGAAAACTTGCCACTGCTACAGTCCTCAGCGAGCTGCCCTCCCTCACCCTCGGTCTCCTTTGCATTTGTGATTTGCCTAACAGTTTCACTTACAGACACAAAGAACACAATCTCTCCTTGCAGAAGGTGCCTAAATCGGTCTTGGGAGCCCTGAGCAAAACAAAACTTGAATGAGAGTAAGGTTTCCCACGGTCCGTAATTTCTTTCTCAGTTGCTTCTGACAGTCACACATTGTTTACCTGGCCAGACCTGGCAGTCTGGTTCCAGGGCCTTGACTCACTGAGCAAAAGGATGGCTAAGGTGGGTAAGAGACAGCTGCCTAACGCCCTGGGAGGCAGACAGGTACCTGCCACGGCACTTTGGCTCACACTCCCGCAGGCTCCTTCCAGATCCACCCGTGCCTGGACAGTCAAAGAAAGGAGGACCCCAACGTCTCTCCCATTTGACAACAGGGAAACTGAGACCCAGGGAGGTGGGGCGACTTGCCCAAGGTCGCGCAGGGGGGAGTACCCAGAACCCTAAGACTCCCAGGCCTGGCTGCCCGCGTCCGCCCCCACCATTGCCCTCTCAGCAGCCCGGTACCGCCCCCCGCCTGGGTCGTGGGCCACCAGGTCCGGGCCGCTACGGGGGCAGATCGAGGCCACCGGAAGGATGAGGGGCCTGCTCGCGCCTCCGGCGCCCCGCCCGCGCACCTGCCGCTCTCAGGGCAGCCCGCAGAGCCCCGCCTCCGGGGCCTCTCGTGAGAGCCGGCCCGCGTCACCAGCCCCCGCGGCCGGCGGCGAGCAGAGCGGCGACCCGGAACCGCACCTTCGCCCGCGCGCCGGAAGTGGCTGCGCGAGGAGAGACGCCGCGCGCATGCGCCCGAGCGCGCCCTCCGCGGGCGTCAGCGCGAGTTTCAGGGCGGCGGTTGGGCGGGAACGGCCGGAGGCGCGGGCGCTGGGCCGGAGGCAGCGTCCAGGTGGCCACGTCAGCCGGCGACCGGCCCGGGATGACGAGCGAGTGGCCGAAGTTTGTTTTTTTTTGGTTTTTTTTTTTTAAAGGGCCGGTGCAGAGCTGGGCAGTGAGGAGAGCCGCGAGGTAAAAGGGCGGGAACCCAGTTGGAGCCCTGGGGCCTGCGCGTGCGGTGCGGGGAACCCCGGCCGCGCCGCCCCGCTCCCCGCACCCCATTCCCGCTGCACCCCACACAGCCGCCCCGTCCCGGGTAGCTGTGGTCCCAGCAGGTCGGTGTCTCCATCACACGGCGCAGACTCGGCTCTAACGATGCCCTCGGCACAGCGCTTGTCGTTTTAAAACAAGCCACACACGCAATCGCCCTCTCCAGAATCCCACTGTTCACTAAAAGGCCTCCAGTTTTTGACAGATGAGCAAAGCCTGGAAAGTTAAAACTGCCTTGTTCAAAGCAGTAGCCTGTGTCCGGTCTCAGAGCTCTTCCAGGCCAACCAGACATTCCGCGTCGAAGGAGCTCTTGTTCTGGCCCCGGTCCAAACACCAGCCAGAGCTTCTGGCAGGTTCCCCTGAAACCACCCCTCCCTCTCCGTGGCCCAGTTCTGACCACCAGGAGCAGGACAGGGAGAAAAATCAAGACTAGGACTCAGAAAATTTACAAACTGAAAGAGTAAGTATTGAGTCCTTAACCCCAAGCTAGTTGTCTGTGGTTGCTACAGATATCAAAGAAGCAAACCATTGGCAGTTTAATACTTCTGTTGTTAGCAATTCTGAAGAAGTTTCAAAAACTTTAAGCAAATAATGTTTATTTTTATATTGATGATACACTTAATATATACGTGGATCCAAGATACAAAATTCATTTACAAGAGTTCACACCTGATGGATGTGGTCACATTCCTAGAGAACATTTATCAATGCAAAAATGCCTGCAATACACTGACAACAAAATTCAAATATTCTGTAATCTTGTTATTCAGTGAACATGAAAACAACATTTAACTGTCCATTCTCTAGTATTTAAACGCCCTCAAGGTGGAAGGTACCTTAGAACAGAAGAAAACATTGGAAAGACAGGGCCTACTGAATCTGCTCTGCAGAATCACAGTGTTTACTCTGAAATTTATTTAGTGAAGTAGTTAGTGAAATGATTGCTACCCTTTATGACAGATCACATATCATACAAGCGTCAAAAGTGATAAACTCAGGAAACTAAAATGTCCCAATAACTTCTCAGTTTCTACAATCTATTAAGTGTTAACCATAACAAAGCAGGAAAAGGCTGCCGAAAAGAAACAAAAGGGAAAATATCCTTAAGAGTGTGTATGGCTTAAGCAATTTAGAAACACAACAGACAAGACTTTTACAATAGCACAAATGTTCAAGTCAAATGATATTGACAATATAATTTTCCCCTTAGTCATTGGTAATAAATAGCCCCTTCAAAATTTATTCTACTGATAACATATATAAAACTAATGTATTCAAATGATTTGCCGTCTCACAGAGTTGAGTTGATGGATTTTGTTCTAAAGTATTAACCCACAATATCCAAAATTCAATACAAATGAGCAACAAGACTACATCTTAAGGAGTACAGTGATATGTGAATAGCTAGATAGGCAACCAAATAGCTTCATTATTTGCACGACAGATTAGCAGCACTTGGATTAGAATTGTTACATGAAAATTATTGTGCTTCAAACTCTTGAGGAGAGCTAATAAATATAACTCTATAATCCCTATAGTATTACAATTCTATAACATTTCAGTTACAGACAAGCACAGTTTTTAAAAAGTATTTCACACCACTAGAAAGTCAAGTAATTATATTCTCCAAATGTAATTTCTGCTATGATTGAAACAAGTGCATTTCTGCCTAATATCCCTAATACAGACAATAGGTTCACCATTATATTTAGGGAAGAAAGATAAAACGTAACTTATTTTAGCTCTTATTTGATTATCTTAACCTTTAGTGATGATATGAATAAAGAAATATGGTAGCCAACCTTACTGTGGAAATTGCTTAGAGAAAATAATGTGGCCTGACATTACAATAACCTTTACAGCAAAGTAAGAAATTATTTATAACTGCTTCACTTGATTCAATGATTAATGAAACCACTATTTGTATTGGTGCTACACAATGAAGATAACCTACTTAGATAAAATTCTTCACTTGCAAGCTCTACTGTGAAAACGGTAGGACATTGCATCTGCCTTTCCTCTTACCTAAGACCTTTCTATTTCCACTGAAAGAAGTCTCCAAAATAGAAGAGCTTCTAATTGTTGAATGGCAAGGTTTATTAAAAACAAACAAAACCTAGAGAACTAGCCATACTTCTATGTAACAAAAGGAATGTATCCAGATAACTGTAAAAGGCCACAACACAAAGTCCTTAACATTTTACTGAACCATTAAAAGTTCTTTTTAATAAGATAAAGAAACAAAGAGTTTTTAAAAAAGGCTCACCTCATTCTTAAGGAAAATATAGTAGTAAGAACTCTATTGTCCTAAACATTTTAGGCAACTTTTCCTGCAGATTTTTAGTACAATCACAATAGTTAGCTATAATGTAGGGGGAAAAGATCAGTAACATGCAAAGGAGGGTAGGGATAGGATTTTAAAAAAATACAGTGGTTATTTGTGGTTTGGAAATATTTACTTGGGGATTATCATATAGGATCATTTCACATTTTACAGTGATTGCCGGAAATGATTTGATCTTTGAGAACACTTAAGGATCAAATTGTAATGTTTTCAAATCTTAATTTCCAATCATGGACAAATAGACATGCATAACTGCTTCAAAAAAGAAAAGAGTATTAGTGACATAACATAAAAACTTTAATATTTACTGTAGACCTATAGGAGGGCGAGCTATAATTCCCTATCTCATTGTGAAAGTGATGTTATCACTTAGTCTATTAACTTTTATTCCATAAGCTTGTCAGAAAAGTAAAAACCTGAACCCTGAAGGTACCACCTATTACACCTAAAAAGATGATTGTCTTAGGATATAGCCTGGAATTGTCCACCAAAATAGGAAAAATAGTCCCAATTTATAGTCTGGTTACTAAATTCAAGTTTGGTTAAGTCAGTCTGAGTGTAGAACTAATATGTGTATTTCAAATTATTAAAAACCTCTGAATCTACTATTCAAGTATGTTTAAAAATCACACTGCTTAGAGTAACTTGATAACTGATTTGTAAAATAACCTTTAAAAACAAAAATATTAACAAAAATATCTTAAAATTAAGAAATGGTGCTTCAGACCTTGATTAAATAATATGCAGAAATGGAATTCTCAAAAGTCAATATTACATTAAACTAGTAAGTGAAAAAACACTGATTTCAGCGTAAGAAAACATGTCAAAGGAAATAATTCTGTGACACCAAAAAATTAGTTATACTTAATACAATTATTTTACCCAATTATGGGTATGTCCCCCCTATATCATCCTGACACTCTTCTCTTCAATAATTAACTAATTCCATTCACACAATTATCTTTCCTTAAGCAAGGCATGTTTAGATAAATCTCTGTTCAAAAACTCAGTGAAGCTGGAAGATAGTCTAATATATTTTGAAATTCTAGTTTGAGCAAGAACTGTCTTTTTTTTCTTTTTTAGGTTTAATCACAGTATCTAGGAAAAACTGGGAGGTGTAGCAAGAATGGGTATAAAGTATCATTGTATAAGAGTACAGGAGAATAAAGAAAAGGTTTGCATTCCTTATTTAACTGCAAAGTAACCAGCTTTGCAACTGTTAGAGTCAGAGATGATATTCACAGTTAATCTCATCTACTGTACATTTTATTGCTGCTACTCTGCTCAAATTAATATCTCCATTGAGCCTGAGTCAGTTTCATGAATTTTAAGTAACATAACATCTGCTCTGCTACTCTCCAATTGCAATAAATGATGTGGTTACTAAAACAACACAATATAAGAGACTATGGCTGTTTTCACTGATTGTTTTTTTCCTTTCAGAAATAGCATGTTACCAAATTCTAATATTTAAGAAATATTTGATAAATGTTATGAACTTATAACATTTTCACTTGATAACATTTCATTATCATAACATTTAACATTTGATAAATGTTATGAATAGCTGACTGGGGTTGGTAAAATGGTCTCCTGACTAAGTTTTCTCTTTGACATGATATAATTTAAAGTAGAATCATATTTACTCTTCTGGCAAATAAAGTGGTAAAAAGTTTTTTGCTTTGCAGTTACATTTTATCATGCAAAATTAACCTCTACTTAATTTCTTCTGTGCATGTATTCAAATGCATATTAAACATCTCCTACATGCCAGCATGCAAGTGAGCATGCCCAGAGAAGACAGGAGTAACCTCGCTGATAACTCTGCGATTCCTCTGCTTTGCAAATTGGCACTGCACGTTTCCCTCCTTGTCCCCCTCACTGTTCTTCCTTCGTAGAGATTTGAAGGCTCAGGATTTCTAGTATGCCATGCACCTAATATTAAGACTCCTACATCATGTATGAATATATCAATTTGCAGAACACAAATGGTCTCATAGAGACAAAGAAATACAACTGGAGGCATTTTATTTACTGGAAACACTTTCTCAGATGAGCATACTCATCTTTGATATCAACTCCAATAAGAAAAATCTATAATCAATAATGCCAAAAAA